GAAAGAGAAAGAGAAAGAGAAAGAGAAAGAGAAAGAGAAAGAAAGAGGGAGAGCAAACAAGAGTCCTTGAATGAGTGGTGTTCATGTCGGTCCTCCTCCTCATACGTCCGTTGCGCCTGTTGTGTTCCGCTTTTCCTTCGAGGTGGTCGATGTGCAGGATCAGAATGTCGCTGGGGTGGCCCAGCGCCCTGCGCCCTGCAGTTTCCCCGCGTGTTTGGGGGGTCGGACACCTCCACCGTGGGTCCCAGACTCTCCCAGGCCGTTCTGTTTGGCTGTCGATGTGTTCTCTCCAACCTGCGATGCATGGAAACACTGGAGCAGAACTGAAGCGTCCGAAGAAACACCGATGGCGTTGGCAGACTGCGCAGCAGATGGGCGCTGGAGGCCCCCGGGGGGGTGACGAATATGATATCTTCGAGACGTCGGATTGTACCTCTATATATATGGTTGAGGTTGGCAGCTGGGCCGCTGTGCACTTTGTGGGCATGCTACGGAAACAAAAAGAACTCTTCAGTTGACTTTTTAGGAGCTAGGGAGTCTATGACTGCTATTCCAAAAGAAGTAGATGTGGAAATGGTGACTGCTGGTGGGTGTGATTCCCCTGTTCTCACCGGGTGCGTTGTGTGCTAGCGCCCGTGACCCAGATCCTGGGGCAGGCGCATATGGGTTGGGAACGGCGAAGAGACCAACGATACAGGGGATATTCCCCCCTCCTTCCCCCTAATGTAGGCTCTTGATGAATAACCGTCCCCATTTGAATTGGAAATCCTCTTCATACAGGGGGGTTATTAATCAAGAGTCCACATAACCAACCCTAACCACCTTCTCTTCGGAGGTAGTTTCACCTGCTGTGCTTCTTCGCCGTCCCCTCAGGTGGCTGAGCCCGTGGTTTCGGCCCAAGACATGCGGCTGCCGATGGGTGAAGCTGTTGGTTTGAAAGGGATTTTGAACAGAATAGCACTGTTGATCTTGGCTGATTAAGCAGAACCCCCTTGTTCAAGATGCTTGACAAATCTCGAGGGAAGGGGGCTTAATAGGTGTCAACAATGATGGATTCCCTTTTTGGTGGTAGCTCGCAGCTACGGCACCTAAAAACATTACGATCTATATAGCATAGTATCTACCATACTATCTACTATACCGTGCAATTTGTGAACCTTGCTGGACGTGGAATATGGACCTTTGTGGCAATCTTCAGCTGAGGCTTGCCCCCTGTGCCACCGGCCCTTTACGAAGATCACCGGCGGTGGTGCCGTGTGCCTTGGGCGCCAAGAACCAAGAAGGGGTACTTGTCAGATCTTGTAAGATTCGGTCCACAATTCTTTGCTGTTTACCATTTTATGACTATATGATAACAACTGTAAAGATTTTGTGTAAAGTTCTGTAGATTCCATCGCATGTTTGAGGTGATTCACGCCCCATCACAAGCATTGTTTAATTTACAGCGAACTTTTTTTAGAATTACATACATCTGGCATCATAGAATTAAATTGGATGTTTCTTCTCGGAAGCCTTTGAATCTTAGGATAGAATCTGACTATCATTGGGTGCATGCAGTTTTCGACCTGCGAGGGATCGGCCGGTCGCTGGGCTGCGGAACCAGCGGGTTGGCCCCGCCCAGTCGCACTGATCGCACTGACGCGGGACCGGTCAACGCGACCGCCGTGCGGTCAACGCTGAGTGAGTCGGACTACCCAGGAACCCCAGGAGAGATAGGCTACAGGAAGGTGACCCAGAAGCAACAAGGAACCCCCAATCACTTCAGAACCCCTCCCGCAGATCCTGGATTAGTCCTCCTCGCCCATCCCCCGAACATCCCCCCCACCCACGAAGGACGACTGGACGACTGCCCTGCAAAGCAGCCGATCCCACATCATCGAACATCCTATGGCCATCGAACATGCGTCCTTTCGCCTCGCGCAGTCGAACCCTTCGGGCCGTCCCAGCGAAGCGGTCCCAAACGCGCGGTCCGTCCGCGACGCCTCGCGACGCATTCGCGAGGTGCGAGTCGTGCGCGGTGGGCTTTCCACGCGAGGGATCGACCTTCTTGGACTGCGGGAGGGCGGGAGGAGAGGGTGGTGGGGGAGGAAGATGGAGGAAGGATGAGGAAGGAAGGCAGGTCTAGGCCAAGGTGGCATGGAGTTCGGAGTTCGGAGGACCATGCGATGCGAAGAACACAGAATACCCTAGAAGTCCAAAGACTATATTTTGACCGGCTGAAGTAAAGGAAGTTCCCTTTCAATTCCCCTAAAGACCATTCTTTTTATAGTCTTTGACTCCCAGGGAATAGCTTAATGCGGGGGTGAACTCATTCCACTTCGGCGTAGTGCCCCTGCCAGTACTCCTCGCTGCCAGACTGCCAGGTCACCCACGGCCTGTTTAAGGCCCAAATATGGTGAGGGGCATAGCACGAGGCATAGGCATGTGGTGGCACACAGGCCTCGTTTTTTCCAGATCTGGAGGGGTTCAGATGAAAGATGATGAAAGGCATTGAAAGGCGCCATGCTATGCGCTCTGCCGCTCTGCAATGCTATCCCCCAAGCCCAAAAGTCATTTGGGACACGACCGTCCGGGCGCCTTCGACCCATCTCTCCACCGATTTTGGGCGGGGAAGCCACCGGGCTTTGGTGCCTCCGTCGGCATGAGACGGGGCCAGTCATGGGTCAGTGTAGGGGCCAGTCATGGGTGTCTGGAGAAGTGGATTGCGGAGGAGGTGGTGTGCATTGGAAGACCTCCTTTTTCTCTCACTGCTGCTACTATTGCGGCTGCTAGCAGCAGCACCACCACCCTCACGACGACGCCGACTAGTACTACCACCACCACCTCTAATGGAAGATTGGGACCAAGGACGTTATGCACTTCACTTCCGCCAAGGAGTTATTTCTTGTGCTTTGTCCGGAGTCCGTTCTGTCAAGCAACTTCCACACCGTTTCCACTGGTACATAAATTGAGTGAACCCCCAATTCAACGACTACATCATACCAGGACCCTCCAGTCGGGGTGGTTAATGGACACTCCTTATCACAGCGTTTTGGGGCTAAGCCATAGACACCCCGACAGGAGGGTCCTGGCACCCTACATCATAGAATAGCTGCATGCTTGATCCCCCAATTCGGCATCGCACATCGTTCGGCTGCACTGCTCCGATCGGCCCACGTGCGCCACGTGGATCGCCAGGACTTGACGATTAGTTCGGCCAAGCTCCCTGAGGAGTGGGAGGTCGCGGTGCGTGTGTGGGATGACGAGTATACAGTATACAGTAACCTAATTAGTCACAGGGTTTAGGGGAAACTGCCTATAGAATTATTGGTGTCAGGTGATTTCACGTACTGTGAGTAACCTGAGTTTCTTTAGATCAGATGATGTTTGAGGTCTCAGCTACCCGCTTCAGGTGATGAGGCTTCCCGTGAGCAGTTCCATTTGCTCTGAAACCACTGTGCGGTCAACGCGCTTCCACGACATCCCATCACTTGCACCATCTGGAAACAGATGATGGACCCTCTCCTGGACCTACTTGTACTACTTGGGACCATGACAGTCAGTCTTTGGGACCTGCCGGCGGCTTGCGAGATCGACTGCCACAGCCGCCACCCTGCCCACCGACCGCGCTTGGCCCTGCGACGCTTTGCCCTCGGGCCGCCCGCGGCCCTCGGACTCCGCGGGCGGCCCTCATCCAGGAGATTTCCGAGGAAGCGGGGCCCGCGGGGCTCTCGGGGCTCTAAGAGGTGGGTGAGCGATGAGATGAGATGAGGCACGATGAGATCCAGTCCTGGTCAGCGCTCATTCAAAGCTCACAAATCAATGAGATGAGCAGTGCAGAAATCACATGAAATCACCCAGTCGTTGGAACTTGGGACGTCAGACTCTGCCAGTCAAACTCGACCTCAATCCATCGGGTGTGGAGCCTGAGGCCGTAGCGACTTCGACGGACCAGGAGCCTGGCTTGTTGCAGCGCCTTGGTTGGAAGAGGGGCACCCTCATGTCCGCACTGCGAACAGAGGGCGGCATGAAAGGCACCGAACCCAACGGATGTGGAACCGCTTTAGTTTCTGAGAAGACACAGACAAGGGACAGGGGAAGCTCCAGGGTTGCTCAGACGTTTTCGGCTAGCGTTGATGTCATCATGATGTATCCGTTTTTGAAGCGTATCATGTAAAAATACTTTCTTACACTCTTTATATCCCTTTACTCATGACGTTCGGCAGTAGTCTAGTGTCAGACCTCTAATACAATCCATTATATAGTCTATTATGTTTTATGCCTGGACACCTTGTTTGGGGTGTCTATTGATAGTCCCTGTTCGAGGTAAACATCAGGGGTGTCCATGAACCATCGCATGGTGGGATATGGTGGGTCCTGGTACATCCATGAATTCATCCTTCGACTCTCGTCATTCGGCTTTGGTCTCTACGGCGAAAGGAGACCCTTCGACGAAGGGCCGGACGACCCCCACTCGAGCCGCCGAGGCGGCTGCCGTTCGTGAACGTGACCGACGCCCTTGCCGAGAGGCGTTCGCGTGACCCACGTGGACTCCCCGGGGGTCTCGAGAGACACATGGAACCGGGCCGAACGGACTCGACTGGGAAGACGATGTTCCGAATACCAGTCGAATGGTTTTCAGGTGCTATGTGGGACTCGGAACAGGGTTTTTAAAGGAAGTGTCTCCAAGACTTAACATGAAGTGTTTCTGGTACTTGCTTTTTAAAGTACCGGAAACAAGTCTCTAATCCCAATCCGGATCCAGAATGAGGAGTGTGGCGCAGGCCAGCACCTCAGCAATTCGGACCTGTCAAGGCCGAACGAGACAGTACTTGAGACCTGTGGGAGGGTGCTGGTACTTAAGTTGTTGTTTATTTGATTTGCATTGCTTTGATTTTTTAAATCGAGTTCTATGGCTGTTTTATGTTTCATCTTTGGCACGAGGTGTTTTTCCTTTCGCTCCGGGAAGCACAAGGGCTGCTTGGGACGGACCTGGCGTCACGCTAAGCAGGGCACCCTGCGTTGGACGCCAGGTTTGGGTTGCCCCAGTCGAAGGAGGTCGAGAACTTAGGCCGAGCAGAACCGGAGAGCCCGTTTGGGGCACTTCGCGGCTCAGTCGTTTCAAAGTCGACGTAGGATTCATCAACGGGGACCCCCCCCCTTCAAGGTCAACAAGGTCAACAAGGTCTGAGATCGGAGGTATTTGAAGACCACATCCCCTTAATAAAGATGATGACCTGATGATGGATGATGAGATGAGGACCTGGACCTGATGATGGACGACGGTTGATGGGATTCTGTGCCATGAGAAGCCATCAAAAGGATTGGTGAGCAGGATGAGGCAGTTGAGAGGTGGTGGTGAGAATCAGGACGATGAGGAGAGGAAGATATTGAATGCTGCTAGCAAAAAGAACACAATAAAGAAAGATAAAGAATTATATATACAATAGTAAACTATATTTTTCTGGGGCAGCTGGGGTTGATTAATAGGGGGAGGTTTCTGCTTAGGAACAAAAATATTAGGGTGATGCCAAGGTGGAAATCTAGGTTTTAAATTAGTTTAGTATTGGGGGGGTCGAGCTGGGATTGACTAATAGGGGGTGATTACTTAATCCTGTGTCAACATTAGATGGCACAACCCCCAAGATGTGTAGTTTTAGATGGGGGTCCGTATACATTGGGGACCCTGGTGCCATCTATTCTGTGCCTCCACTGTATGTTGATGGTGGAGGCACAAAAATTCCCCGTCACCAAGACCCAACATAGAGGACCCGAAGGAGGATTTTAGTGTCTCCCTGGCACCGCTTGCCAACTCAAGAGAGCCTGGTCAAGGGTATGATCGAGGATTCTTTTCAATTTGGGTCAACCAGGGTTCCTTCCTTTGGTATCCGGCTGCTCCAAGCACTATAGTCGTTGGGATTTGTGGCCAGCGACCAAGTTAGAGGCTTTGCACAGACCTCCAGCTTGGTCCAGGAGTGCAAGGTTCCAAGGGCTTGGCCTGGTTTTTGTCGATTTGTTCAGATGTTTTGGGCAATCCTCCCCATTTTGACAGAGATGTTTAAATATGTTTAAACCTTCTACCAGTTCCAACCAACGATATACCAGCAGTCACAAGACGGGGTGCGATCCATATAGGTTTTGAAGTGCGAACATCCACTCACGTAAGGGGACGAGCCACACCACCCCGTCTTGTGACTCCTAGTGCAGGATCTAGGACCGACAGGGTGTACCGAAGGACCACGGGTTCAACCGAGAGTCGGTCGATGATCATTGGGAGGTCGAGAGCTGTTGATGGATGCGCAGAGTAGGCAGGGTGGTGATTCTTTTTTGATTTCCAGAATGGGGCCGATATAGGAATCATAGGTGATTTCCTATATTGGGTGGTGATCCTTTATATGTTTGCCAATATAATATAGGTATAGGATATGGATCTGGTATGATGTGGTCAGATCATGTAGGATCATATAGGGTATTGACAGACAGACATTTGTCAGTCTTTCAGTGGGTTTAGGATGGTTTGGGCGGCCGGGGGGACATCTCACATGAAAATCACAGAGAGAGATAGAGAGAGGGAGAGAGAGAGAGAAGTCAAAGTAGTTTGAGACGTTTGCCTGCAGATTTATTATATTGGCCATTGATGTTTGCGATGTCTTCTCCATGTCCCTATTGGTTTCCAGGCCGATGCGCTTCTTTGCCTCGTGTGGTCTCACTGTTGGTCTGACAGGCTCGGTGGACCCCTGCAGCCGCCGGGCACGTCCACCTTTCAATCCCCGTCCGGGAGCCGAGGAGGGTGGAAAGGAGACGACTTCCCCCAAGTTGGGTTGTATAACTGTAGTATAGAGGAACAGGATCGAAACCACGAGAAAGGTCTTTGATTCTCAAGGTCCATAGGATCTTGTTCTGGATCGGAGTGATCTTGACGATGTGCGGCCCAAGAACGGATGAGGGACCGACGTGAACGGCGGCAGGTCAGGTGAAAAAGAAACACACGAATCTCGAGCTGCCAAAGATGTGCCAAAGGTGTGAATTCTTGCCTCGGGTACACATTTTGGACACGTCTTGGTTCCGGTCCACCAAACCCTCAGACTCCAACCACATCCTCGAGTTCGATGGTTGGGGTGGGTGTGCCAGGTAAGGTCTATCCATACCTGCTGAGGATGTGCCCCAACCAGCCCTGAGGAAATCAACGCCACCGATCCACAGATCAGGAAGCGAGGGCTGAAAATGGCTGAAATCTTTTCTTGGACTGGGTGCATATCACGGAAGGTTGCTCCGCAACCTTGAGTTTGATAAGCTTTAAGCTTAGGAGCAGACTTCTCCCCTATGACCTGATTTTGGTGTGTTCAACATCTTGAACCACTGGGTGAGTAGATGAGAGCGATTCATTTGAAGGGCTAAAGAGGAGGACCTGCGTCTCAGGTTAGTCTCTTTCGCCTATGAGCGTGGCTGGCGCCGAAGCTTCGCCAGCCGGGGGCGCCGACGGGTTCCACCAGCGGTTCCTGGCGGGGTCAGGGCAATAATAGCTGTAACAGCCAGTCATTCAATCAATACTAGCACTATTATTGCCTTTACTAACCATCATCATCCACGGCTACTGGTAATTAATAGGGTAGACCATGATAGACCCAATGTAGACATTTGATGATTAAAACCCTCCATGTGAAGCGGTTTTACAATCCAAATGGCTGTTTGTTTTAATCAGTCTACATTTTGCAAATGGAATGTCATGAGTCGAATGCCAGCTCCCTTCAACAGGTCTCCTCAACTATATAGATCTGAGGGTTGGGCCGCCCAACGCGTCCCAATGGGGCTGGTGGATGAAACAGGCAGGTTGGTGTGGGCACCCTGGTTGGACACTTTGGCTGTTTCATCCTGTGCTGCCAGGCAAAGCATGGAACGTTTTTTCACTGGAGTCCAGAGTCAAACAATCCATGTGACTGGAATATTTGCGTTGGACGGGGTTTTGTCCTTGGCCAGGCAAAGAACGTTGGACTGGAGTCCGGAGTCACAAGACAGTCCCCATTTGGATAAGGGTCAATATAGGCACAGGATCCGTGATGACCGTGAGGTGCTTGACACTTCGACCGGGTCGTGAGACAGGGTCGTACCTTCTGTAGGGATCCACGGATCCCTAGCAACAAGGACGCTACTATAGTAGCTCTTGGCATCGCTGCTAGTAACCAAGGGCATTACTGCTATATATTAATAAGAAACTACTAGTAGCAAGGACGCTATTAGGTGGAGGCAATCGCAAGTAGGTTGGAGGCCATCGCTACTAGAAGCACGGGCGCTATTAGGCCATCGCTACGAGTCACCAAGGGCAGACCACGAGAACCGCCCAGGTCGCCCGAGTTCGCAAACACAAAGGCCCTGGGAAGCGGATGTCGGTACCAAGGCTCAGGCTTTCCCGGTCCGGATGAGGAGTTCCGCCTGGTCGGCACCTGAGAGATGAGGAAGGCCAAGAGCAGGCCTTTCGGAGGAATGTGGGAAATGGATGGGGCGATCCAAAGTGCCAAGGCATTTGTTTGGGAAGAGGAATGCACATCAAAAAGGATCGATGATTGAAATTGAAGAGTGAATCCTGACGAATCCTGACATGAAAAGATATCACTGCAGATGTATGTGGTCCCTGATGCTAAAACCCCGCACAGATCCACGGCACGTCGCCTAGATCCACGCATGCTGATTGCTGCTAGGGTGTGTCCCATTACTGGCAACAGTTGGTCAAAGATGAGCACGTTTTCCTTTGGGAAAGGCCTGCAACCTAGACTCCCGAAAACTAACATAGACCCTGACAATGGTCCCATGGAAGACTATTTTCCTCTACCAACTAGGGGGGTTCAGGTTCCATGTTAGTCTTCCAGGGTGTAATGATTGTCCATTAGTGAGATGATACCCAACCAGATGCACCAGACCAGTAGTGCAGACTCTGAGGGACTCCTTGCAGCTCCTGAGGCCCAGAACTTCTTGAAGGAAGGCGCTGGACTCCTCGGGGACTGGGCTTCGTGCCGAAAGATGCGCGTCGTCAGCGGGGCACCACGTTTGGAGGTACAGAGGAACAGCTGAAAGACGAGGGCTGAAGAATGCGATTTTTGGGAGAACTCGGGCAAATCACGGGGATGTCCCTATGCCGGGATCGTCAGATAGTCTAGGAGTCTAGGAGGAGTGGTCGTCAAGCTTCTTGGCATTGAGTAGGCGCCCAACGCCGACATCCATCGATGGCCGTCGAGGGCGTCAGAGTTCGGCAGCAGAGGACACCTTGTTGGATGCCTCTTGTGGCAGTGGGCTCTTCAGCCGACGCTTCGTGGCATCCAAGGACTACAAGACAGCGCCTGGGGATGGCACAGGGGGGGATGGCGGGGCTTGGGCCCCTTGGAACATCCGCTACTAGTACAAGGGCATCGCTACTAGTAACAAGGGGCATGGCTACGAACGGAGTGATTGGACGCTACGAACCTAGCTCCTGGCATCAACTTTATATATAATAGATGAAGTTGCGAAGTTGATTGGACGTGTGACGTGGTGCGGCACCACGCTGCCGTGCTGCCCGTGCTGCTGTGCTGGCTCGGGTTGAAGATCCTGCAGGTTTGAGAATCTGCAGGTTTTTACCAGGCAAAAGGGTGGTGTTTGGTCCCCAAGTGAGTGGATAATGGGCACCCCTAACCTCCATGGATCGCACCCCGTCTTGTGACTGCTGGTAGATGACGATGACATCTGACTTCTCCTTCTGCCATTTGACTTCTCGTGGGCTTGGATACGGCTTGGTGTTACCTCCATGTTTTGGAAGCCATGGGCCACATGAACCAAAAGCCTCAACTCACAACTCGCGCCCAAAAACCTCGAACCTGGACGAGCCCTGTCCCAGTCATCTTCGTTTTCGCGTCGAAACTCGACGTCGAGAGTTGGGACTCTCCAGGCGGGAGAAATCAGCGAAGACCATTGAACACCCCAGGCGCCCATCCAACCGCCCTACCCCTGCGCCGTGGGTCCATCGGAGTTCTCAGGACGTGGAGCAGCTTGGGTGTTTCTCGAGTTCCGCCCAGGTGGTGGCCCTGGACTTCAGCGAAGCCATGCTGAAACAGGCCATGCCGGGGTGGTGGGAGGTTTCGCACCCACACGAAGATGGCAAGGAGCTCTGCACGTCATGCCAGGTCGTGTCATTTTTGAGGTTATAGTCAGTCTGGCTGATGGGCATAATAGTAGTTGCAACCTTTTTTTCCAGAAAGCAATGCGTTCATCATCCGGCTCTTCCATTCGGAACGCGGCTCTTCCACCGGGCAGGTGGATGACTTTGCCAAGAAGGAGTTTGGCGTGGATTACGTGCTGACCACAGATTCGAGACCTACAGACGGCTCGATCCTTCCCTGCTCGATTGAACAGAATGGAGCACAGGATACCATTCGTCATTGGTGAAAACTGCAGGATACCATATTGGTCATTGATGGGTGGCAGAGGGCCGCTGTGTTGATCAAGTTCTTGGCACCTCGACACCATCCCGAACATCGAGAAAGACTCCCAAAACGCTTCCGTTTCAGCCCACCTTCGCACCTGCTCCGCAGGTCCACGGCCGCCGCCCCGCCCCGGCTCCGATTCCCTCCGAGGCCGCACCACGGGACCCGAAGCAGACGGCGCTGAAGCTGGTGCGCGGCGACATCGCAGGGACGCCTCAGTCGAGCGGCGAAGTGACATGCGCTCCGTGGCGCGGCTCAGGGCGCGAGTGACGCCTCGGCTCGCGCATGGGGAGGTTCCTCCGTGGAGGGCGGAAGTGGGCAGATTGTTGTTTTTGGATGTTTTTGGAGGGAAGAGGTCCATGGGTGCACATTGGATGAGCAAGGACACTTGAGGTGTTAAATTAATTGGTCGCCATGATTCAGTGGTATTCATGGCAAGCAGTTGTATGCTGTCTTCCCTTTCCCTGTGGAATCCGAGGAATTCTACAAATCTCCAGACAACTGAAATACCACAACCTTTCAGAGGTGGTCCATGACTCTTTCCCTTCCCAAGCAGCTCACCGGAACACACCGGAACACACCCCGGTCCGGCGTGCGGAAAGGACCCAAGAAGCCCAGGCGCGCTTGCCCTTCGAGTCCGACTCCCTTGGCGGAGTTCATGCAGGCGCGGCTTTGCGCGATCGCCAGGGAGGGGCGGACAGCTGGTCGTTGCCCCCGAGACCCGGGGAACGGCGCGTTTTCTGGGGAAAAATCGGATGGGCCGATGGACCCTCTCTACACATCCACCCATCGATTAAGAGACCATAGACCAGCACCCGACTCCGACATGGTCTCCGACATGGTGGGCTTTTGGAGACTTTGAAGTGTCAGGTGGTGACCTGTGAAGTCGGGTGCTGGGGACCGGAATCTTCACACCGATGTGGAGAGATGTCGTCCTTCAGCTCCTTGTTGGGTCCGGAGCCACGGAACATCCGGAGAGAAGCCGAACTAGGCATCGAAGCAAACTCTTCCGACCCTGGAACTCCTTCCCCAGGTTCGGTACGACTGGGCCCGACCCAGGCGCCTACATAAATAGTCTCCAATCACCGTACCTGAGGTTTGGTACGGGCTTTAGAAGTGTTCACCGATGGCAAAGGGCATCGTTGTTCCATGGCGAGAACCCCTGGTCCTCATTCCCCCCCGCAGATTCTCACGTTTTGGGGGTGGAACGAACCAAACCCTTCTGGCCATGGTTCTTCAGCTCCCCATCGATGGAGCTTCGTCGATCCCCCCGACCGGCTCTGCTAAATGCGTCGTGCGGGTACTGCGGCGACCACCCCTCGGACGAGGGGCGGAAAACGCCGACGAACAGGGCTGGGGTTGGCCCAGTTTTTGTTCTAAAAGGGCAGGCGGCAGGAGAAACACAGGGATTTGGCCACGACGAAGATGGCGATGTTGAGAACGGATCAGTTGACCACCAGATGAATTGGCATCAAAGGACCACTACCAGCGCTACCAGGACCTTCTCAGTGACCTTCTGAGATCCCAGAATGAGGTTACTCATTACATCATGATGCACATTTCCACTGTAAAATGAGAGGGGTATACCTATGCATAGCCTATGCATATTTTGTTTTAAGTTCACCCCAGAATTTGCACGTAGATCTTATTACTTATCAAGTCATTTTAAGTCATGAACTGGTCAACTACAAGCCCCGAACAAAGCCCACTATAAGATCACGCAGGTCCGCTACCTCGTGCCGGTCCGGTGCGAGTGTCCGGTCGGCTCGTGGCCAGGTGCTGCCATTCACTGCTGGCGAGGGGAGCCTGGAACCCCCCGTTACGGACTTCAAAGGGGTCGAAGAGAAATAGAGTCACTAGACTACCCTACACTTGGGGATCTCCATTGAGCACCCCTTTGAAGGTCTAGGTTAGTGTATATAGCTGTGGGTCATGGCGACTGCTTGATACCTTGGTTGCCCTATTGAGGAGGCTTTGACATGTTCTGACCGCCCGCATGGTAGACACCAGACCTACCAGGTTTTGACCCATCTCCATCTACCCCAACTGTTTCATCTTCATTGACCCTTGAAACATCTTAAGACCACTCATTGCATGTAGGCAAATGTGTCCAGTTTCCATGGGTATTTGCTTGGGGAATCCTTTGGATCATAAAGGACCCAACGAGTCACCACGTACCGGTTCTTCAGCTTGGACATCACCACTCAGATGGATCCTGTCATGTCGCAATGCTCTTCCACACATCCAATTGGGGGTGCTTAGTGTTTGCGAGGGGTCGCACCGGGTCGCAACAACCATGTCCAGTCCCGATTCGATCGAACGCATCCAAGATCTACTGCAACCTCCGAACGGGGTCACCGCTGGCCCGGTCAGACCCGTCCGGTGTGGGTCTGACGCTCCGCGTCTCCCAGGCCCAATCCAGAGAACGCGGTGGCCGAGGTGGCCCGCGTGCTGAGGCCGACCTCCTCCGAGACGACCAGAAGTTGAACTATGTGGCATTGTTCATTTCATTCAGTGTTTGGTAGTTTGGTAGTTGAACTATATGGCTTGTTCATTCCTATAAAGGCTTTAAACATGAGTTTTGCAATTCACAATCTTGAACTCAAAGCCGGTGCGAGGTCAAGGTGTTTGTGCATGTGTGTGTGTGTGTGTCAGTGTGGGTGGCTCTAGTACTCTAGTCCACCTCTGACAGCTTGTCAGAAGATCTAGTAGAATGATGGAAACTTAGTCCACAAACACTTCGAACTTAGAACCTGTATGCCCCCATTGAATGCGGGTTGCGGTTCTTGTTCCAATCAATTAAGTTGTTTGGGGGGCATCCAGGGGGCCTGACTTGCTTCGCCCTCCAACTATATGTGATACTCCTTCCTATAGGAGGCCCACTGGGCCCCCAGAAAGCGCGATCCTTGGCAGCAAATCACCTTCACATCTTAGTCCATCACCCCATGTCAAAGGACACCAAGTGCCTTTAAAATTCAGACGTCTCGCGCACCGACTTGGGATCATCTCACCGGTCCTTTCTTGCCTCAACGTCCTAGTATATGTCCAAATAAAGACCACTCGGAGCGACTGAGACCCTTGGGCTTAGGACTCGAATCACTGACCTGCACCAGGTGCTTTGTAAGACAAAGCATTCCAAAAGGATGAAGAGATCTCATAGCCTCCAGGTCCGTAGACCGGGTCCCTTTTCAGGTCATTGAACCTCTAGCCGTTGAGCTGCGGGCCACTCGGCCACTCTCAGGCCCGGCGGCGTTTTCGTGCTGAGCACCTTCATGCCGCGCGGCCCTCTGCGGGCGCTGCTCGGCCGAAAGTGGTTCCATCCACGACCAGGAGACCACATGATTCCACCACCCCAAGGATCGAAGGGGGGGGTTCTATAGGGTTCTATAGACCACCCTTTTTATGGGTGCTTGGCTTGGTAATTATATTTGATCAGATCGTTCGGGTCCGTTGCCTAGCTGAGTGCGGCGACTTCCTCGGCTGGCTCGTTTCCTCGGCGGCGACTTCCTTCCCTCGGGTCGAGAGGAAGTGAATCAAAAGATGCGACCTTCTTTGAGTCGCGAAGTCTTTGTCCCAACCTACTGTAGACTCTTAAGTAGATCCCCCGCTCCTAGACATGGTTGAAATGTAAAATAAACAATCATGGAAGTGGGGTGAGTTCACCACCTGTTTTGGTATGAGGATTGAACATGGTCATCCGTTTTCGAAAGGGCCATGTCATCCACTTCTATTTCAGTGAGCGCAACTACTTGGGTACATCGATGGGTTGCCGTTTGATCTGTTTGGAATGGTCAACGGGGACGGGATGGGACGGGGCAAGAGTAAAAAGACCTGTCTCACCAAAAAGATCTGTGACAAAAGGACTTTGGTGTCACAGGGGGTGATGTAGATTCTGTAGACTCTTGTTTTTGGTGTCACGACCTCTCGTGACTCCACAGGCGTTCCGCCAATTCCGCCAGTTCTAACCTGTTCCGTTTTCAGTCTTGGTTTCGACATGCTGTCAAAGGGACGGGGGTGGGGGGGGGTAGGGCAGGGGGGGGTCCAACCACGTCTTGTCTTGTTGCGTTCAAGGTACACTGACCGCAGGTTTTGAAGCTCAATGCGTTCATTATCCCTTCGTTGTCTTGTCTCTCTATGTGCGTTGTGGTTCTTCTTCGGTTCACTCGTCGTGACTCGTCTTTGTTCTTTCCGTCCCCGTTGTTAAGCTTTTTTTTGGGTGGACAGTTTTAAACTTGGACAGTTTGCTGGACTTGGCGACGTCGGTCAAGGATTCATTAGGTCTCTCCGCGCTGGACATTTGTTTTAGATCCTGACCGGTGGGCGGGTGTTAGATGTCTATTGTCCCGAGGAGTGCGGGCAATTTTTTGGGTTATGTTGGCTTACCATGTGGGACGAATTTATAAGCTATACAACAATCGTACGTGATTACATCCAAGGGTCACGGCCTCTTTGTTTGTGTTGAGTCAGCGTCTCTTACGCTTCCGTGACTTGTCGAGCTTACTGGCGCGGTGAAAACTGACGATGCACATGACTCCATGACGATGCAACCTCTTGGGGGTTGGAGGGAGTGGTAGGGAATGGTGCTTTTGAACTCCTGTAAAGGCATAGGAATGTTCAAAGAAGATTGGACATATGCAGAAAAATAATCTGAGACAAAAGATCTGCATCTACAAAACGCTGAAAATTACCATCGGTTGACGCACGATGACAAAAGTGCCACGCCCACGACTACGCGAGTCAATCGGGGTCGTGGTACCTTGTTTTCCAACTGGTGGAAGGAGTATCACAGGCAATTGCCCAAGTTCACCACTGACGTAGATGTGAGTGGTTTGAACAGTTCAACATTCTGCAGAACAAGAACCTGAGTTGAGCTGTACTGCAAGCGAGACCATACGAGGCCCGCTGCTCGCGAGAGAGAGAGAGAGAGAGTTGACCATTGTGGACAAGGACAACCATTGTGGACAGGGACATCAACCCACCACCTGTTGATCATTTGATCCGTGTTTTCTTCATGGGCCCAAGTTATCATCAATTATATAAGTCTTTCCACACGTTTTGGACCCAACAAAAGGAGCTCTCCCACATGCACCCCTGGGCATGCTCCACATGCTGCACCTGGGGGCAGGCGGTTCTCCATGTATGTGCTGAGGATGGGAACCAACAGCAACCCCTACCGCTTTTGGACTGAAGACGACCTTCGATCGTCCACGCGCTCAGTGCTTTCTGTGTGTTGCCGCTGTTTGGGTGGGCTGTGGAACCTGGCTTCATCACACCCAAAAGAGAACATCCACAGTCCGCAGGGCATACCGCAAATGTTCAGATCCTTTTAGAGTGCATACTGATACATGTCAGAACCTTGTTGGGTTGAACCGGGAAAGGTTTGATGTTCTACATTGGGACATGAAGGATCGTGTTTCCAGCACAATTCATGGAGGATTAGACAACACATGTGTGCACATGATCCTCACATAGAACCCTAGAAATCGAATGAAATTGAAACTTCCATCTATCGTGCAACCATGTGCAACCGATGTGTTCTTTAGATACGCACACACACACACGCACACGCACATATATGACATATATTGACATATAACTTATAACATAAAATTATCATACATAAAACTTTTATACACAATTACATTTGCACACTTTATATTTTTCTATACTATATCTCCCTATGTTTTCCCTATGGCCCTATGTATGCATACTGTCTATCTATTTGTCTATCTATCTTTCTATCTATCTATCTATCTAAATACCTAACTAACTAACTATCTATTTATCTATCTATCTATCTGTCTATCTATCTATCTATCCCGATCCCCATCTCTATCTATCTATCTATCTATCTATCTATCTATCTATCTATCTATCTATCTCTCTATCTCTATCTCTATCTCTTTATCTCTATCTCTATCCCGATCCCCATCTCTATCTATCTATCCCAGACACTCTCTTTGTGTCTTCTGGGGGGCCAAAATGGCCATCCTTCGGTGGTCTCTTTGCCACGAGGCTCACCCGTCGTTGCGGCCTCACCGACTTTGAAGCGGTCACCCGGGACCCCGCCTTCATCATGGCGCGGGGGCGTCGCACGTCGCGCGGATGTGGGTGGGGGCAGGGGTTGCGGACAGACAGCGGGAGTGTGGGCGGGTGCAGGGGGTTTCTAGGGAGGTTTGCCCATGCATGAAGTGGGGCGGTTTCCGTGCTGTTGGGAAGCTGCGCCATTATATATACCTGGTATATACCTGGATCTTCCAACTATGCCTTTGGGCTCATTTTACAGATGAGCAGGCAGAAATTTGTCGCAGTTGGAAGATCCAGGTATATATTAGTTATAGTTATACAACTTAATTATATCATATTGTGTTGAAAGTCTCGCGGTCGGCAACTTGATGTCGGCAGAATTTGACATCAAGGTTCATACTTTCTGGAAGTTGTGTTCGTGTACGCTCCGCCATTCCAGCACTGCCCTCCCATCAAGCACCATCATTGGAGTCTGCCGTGGATTGGCTTCGAGATTTCAGTTCTCATCAAGTTGCAGTGGGGTAAACTTACGGAGCTACACCAGATGAACCGCCCTTGCTGCTGCATGTTGCAAGGTGCAGCATAATTATCCGGTGGACAAGTTTACAACTATGCAACCTGGAGCCTAGGCAAAGTTTAAACATTGTACGCCATACTTAGGGGCTCCAAGTGTACAACTTGCAGCCACAATAAGGTTAAAGCAGTTTTTCCACATCCCTTGAAGGAGCCCAACGCTATTTCAATCATAGTCTTTAGGTGACCCGAAACCTTGGAGGTTCCAAGCTCGGCTAAAGTGATTGTTCGAGGGTGCACCTTCACATGTAGGAACCACCCAGGACTATGCGTGAACCTTTCATAACCTTTCAGGACTATGGTCAGGTCATGACATTCATGACATTCCTCGCCTTAGACATGAGGGTCATGCAGGTCCTTACCTGAGACCATGGCATGGTCCTGGGGTGACATGGCCTGAGGTCAGGTCGTTAAGTAAGGTCATGGGCATGTCCTTGAGGTCATGGTCATGACCTTTTATTGTTAAACTTGTGTTTATTATACATTTTAAGTAGCGTTAACTCGTTTTAATATCACTTCGGTACTAATGTTTAAACTCGCTATATCTACAGTTTTAATTGTATTAAAGTATGTTTGATGCGCAACATTGGAATGTAGGATACATGATTCTATTTCGTTTATAACAATAAGGTTAATCTGTACATATAGTTGTGATATACTATTTCTTTTGAAAGTTGCTTAGCAAATGAAATAGCAAAATCAATTATATATATATAACATATGAATATATTGCATTTATATCACCATGAGAAAATCACATGATACATATTGATACACATATGTGTATATATTGATGCCATGCTTAATGCTAATAAAGTATTGATTTTATGTTTTACTAACACAACTAATACCATATTTCATCCAAAAATACCATTGAGCTCGCGGGAGGTGTGCATGTTGACTTTCCATTTTGCAGCCACTTGCAAGTGGCTGCAAGTGGCTACCCGAGCAAGTGGCTGCCAAGTGGCTGCAAGTGACTGCTACTTCTGTCCGGAGAATATCATGATTTCTCCGCACGCAGCTCTGGAGAAAACCAAGACTTCTGCAATGCTGTTCTGCGAAGAAATTCTGGTTTTCTCCAGAGCTGCGCGCGGAGAAATCATGAAATATTCCAAGACTTTTCCGAGAATCTAAATGCCAAACTTCTGCAGAGCTTGCGACGAAGAAATCTCACAGTTTTTACATTAACTCAAAGTGCAAGTGTTGAAATTTACTTGTTTGAGTGACAAGTGGCTGCAAGTGGCTGCCAAGTGGCTGCCTGAGCAAGTGGCTGCAAGTGTGCAAGTGACTGCAAAAACCACCGCCGAACCAGTTTGCGTTTTACAGTGTTTCGAGCGCTTGGATCGGGCCGGATTCGATCTTGTCCACGTCAAAACCCATGGTTTTTATGTGGCTTCGGTCTTGGAGAGGGGGTCCGGGACGGAATAAATCACATCTGAAGCAAAAGTCAACATAAATAGCGCAAAATACCCCCAACATAGCTCCAAACATATGCCGGACTCGGGCACATAATGCTAGAATTGCGCGCCGCACCGGCGTGGATAACCTGCATCGTGCGGTGAGCCCCACAACCACGACCGCAGCCACAACAACCACAACCATCTGCAACGACAATGATGACGACAACAACAACAACCATCTGCAACCACCAACCAGTGGTGGGCCCCTGGCCGGCTGTCGGGCGTCAGCCCTTAAACCAAAGTGTACGTCCTGAGATTGATAATATACTGACCCAAGTCGGCTCTTGATTCATTTTAAAGGAACGTTCTGCACCGCCTTCTTGCAGTTGTTGCAAATGGTTCACCTAAACGGACCTCAATTGTCATGCCAAGCAATGCCTGCCTGGAATGGCTGCAACGGATGGCCCAAGATGAAATTGCCGGAGAGGGTGATGGGCATGGTTGCTTCCTGGTGTTTTTGTCAGTGCTTGGGTTAGCGTCGCTTCCTGCAGCTCTTGCCCCACAGAAAATCAAGGGACCTGCTCATGCTCCTGCAGGCTCGCCTCCTAGAAGGGGGCACGCGTGCAAAGAGCCATAGTGGAGGGTTTAGTGCCCTGGGCGTGGTGGAGTTCGTGGCGGTTTGGCTCGGGGTATTTCACTCAACCCTGTGCAAATTCTGTCGAGTTTTGCTGCGAGCCTGTTTCCCGAGTGCACTCCCTTAACAGACCAAAGGGGAATATGATGTAGCAATTGTGGTCTTCTTTTTGGTAGACCTTTACCGGTGGCTTGACCCCGGCACTGCCGACCAAATATGCCTTTGCCAGCCGAACAACCATTGGTTTGCTAAAGCCAGCTCAACATGTCTTTTCATTTTCACGGTCTTGAGAGCCAAGGCTTTTGTCACCATGCTTCAGCGGCTGTTCCCAGCGGATCGTTCGCTGAAGCGGCCTGAGCTGGTGGAGCGCGTTGCGGCGCTGTAGGCCGGCGGCGAGTTTCAGGTATATGCTCCCGTCAAGCAGGTGAACCTCCTGGTTGGGGCTCTGAGGAGATCCGTTGACCACCAAAGGTACTAGGCAAAAACAGGCTTCTTCCAGTTTGCGCCCTCGTATCAAGTGGCCTCAACCTGGCGTCCTATGCCTCATAACTTCGATTTATGTGCTTCCAAGCGCGCACTTCACTCGGATTTTGACGGAGGACCACAAATTGGATAAATTGGGCACCGGCAAGGTTCTTGGACCGTGCGACACTCCAGCTGTACCGTACACCCTCATCCAGCACCAGCAGCCATCGGATATCTTTGTGTCACCCATAACTCTGCGTGCTTTGTGCAACGATGCAGAGCACATGAGGGCGTTCTGGCCGTTGTTCGAGCAGGCAGCTTGCTTCTCATTTTTCACTGGGTAGTCTTATAAAAAACTTTCATATGGTAAGGCCAGAATCCTTGATTTAAAAAAATGCAAAAAAGTAAAAAAAGGCAACTGGAAAAGTCAAAGTCAAAAAAAGTCAAATTGAAAAGTCAAACAAAAGTCAAAAAAAGACCCACAAAAAGTTCAAAAAAATAGAAAGAAACAACAATGTCCAGTCAAGCGACTCAGGAGCAAAAGAAAGCCGGCATATATATATGGAAAACACAGGCAAAGAGGACAACAACATTGAACTAAACTAGTAACAAGCTCATAAGTCAGCCAAGGCAAATTGCAGCCCTTTTGCTTATGGCTTATGGCTTTCAGTCTATTAAAAATTCTAGAACCTTTTTGGTTGTTCAACTTTCACCTTTTCCAGCCCCAAGCCAGCCCCAACCCCCTACCCCAGAGTTGCAGGACCCCTACCCAGCCCCAGCCACTGTCCCAGGGTCTCTTCAGCCCCAAGCCAGCCCTGTCCCTGGTGGCCCTGGTAGCCACCCCAGAGTCCCAAGTACCCAGCCCTGTCCGGCCCCAGAGTCGCGAGCAGAATTGACTTTTTTTTTGGGTGACTTTTTTTGACTTTTTGTTGCCTCCAGTAATCCGCCAAGGCTAGGATCCGCGCTTGGCTTTCACATTTGACTTTTTTTGTTGACATTTTTTGATTTTTTTGATTTTTTTCGACGTTTTTTTTGGTTTTTTTTTGCATTTTTCCACTTTTGACTTTTTTTTTGACTTTTTGTTGCCTCCAGTAATCCGCCAAGGCTAGGATCCGCGCATTTGACTTGTTTTTTTGGTGACTTTTTTTTGACTTTTTTTGCCGGCCCAGCCCCGCATGCCCCAGCCCGCCTGTAGCCTGCCTGAGCTCGACCTCAACCTGACCCCTCCGCCAGGAGCCAGCCGCAGCCAGCCCAAAGCTTGGCCCTGGCAGCAACCTGCCCCAAAATTTGAGCAGCAGCTGGCTTGGGGCTGAAGAGACCGTGGGACAGTGGCTGGGGCTGGGTAGGGGTCCTGCGACTCTGGGGTGGGGGGTTGGGGCTGGCTTGGGGCTGGAAAAGGTGAAAGTTGAACAACCAAAAGGGTTCTAGAATTTATAATAGACTGAAAGCCATAAGGCATAAGCAAAAAGGCTGCAATTTGCCTTGTTACAAGCTTTTCCTTGACTTGTTTACCTATGCAACGTTTTTGTTTGACCTTTTTTTTGATTTTTTGTTGACTGTTGACTTTTTTGACTTTTTTTTGACTTTTCAATTTGACTTTTTTTTGACTTTGACTTTTGGGATTGACTTCTTTGACTTTTTAAAATTTTGAAAACAGGTTCTTTCCAATGAAAGTTTTTTTTAATAAGGGTAGTCGCAAGCTAGAAAGTCTAAAACTGTCATCAATGAAATTGAAGACAGGGCCTTGACCGCTGCGCATGTGGCTTGTTGTCCCGACAGCTGCATTTTACCCATGTTGCCCTGAAAGCTTGAATGCGCGCAGGTTCGTGGCGCCCGTCTGGGTGCAGTCTGGGTGCAATCGCATTACAGTGCTCTGGAGAAGCTTCGTTTCATTCAGCTTCCTCTTTCCTAGTCTTCAGAATTGCAGATCTTCGTTGTTGGGTTGCCAGTGGATGTTTCAAGCAGGCTTCAGGAGGAGGTATTGGGTAAGAGTCCTTGGCTTGAGTTGCTCCATGCTTCATCGTTTGAGACATCTGGCTCGGGTGCAGACTTCAGTTTGTGCATTGGCATTGGCTGCATGAAGGGCTTTCTGGCGCAGGCGCTACGCTTGCGAACCTTGGTGGAGGAGCCCTGACCACAGGTTGGGATTCCGCTTCAGTGACGGCGCCGATGTCAAGACTAGCGCATGGCGCAAACGGCATTCAAAGCCCGCTGCGGACTTGGTGTCGGAGCGCACTGTTGGTGTCTTGGAGTGGAGCATCTCCAATCCACAGACAGCTATCCAGTCAGGGTTGGCAAAGTACTGCAAGGGTGGCTTGTGAGTGGCCCGAAGTACATATGTTGACAATTGTTGACAGAACATTGACTTCACAGAATACCAAACGACAATCAACGTCAAGTGGGGTCTGACACCCCAGACCAAGTGGGCTTCTGTTTCTTGGCGCTTTTTCGTGGTGGAGGACCAGGGCACCCACACCCTATGCAAGGATGTCCTGAAGAAGAACCTTTTGGTGAGGAGTGAGCCCTGCTGACGCGAAGCATATGTTCCTGAGTGAAGTGTCCACGATGGCGTTGCTGGCTTTGATTGTCTCGCGAGGCAAGCAGAATTAGTCGCTGGGAAGATGTGTAGCAAGGCTTTTGGGCAATGTTGCTGCACTCGTTCGCCCACGCATGATAACTCTAATGGCCCCTACCCTACCCATGCAAGTATATATATTTCAATATTGTTCCACTTGGAGTGATACGCCTGTGTTGCTTTACACTAGTGTGGTGACAAAGCAAGAATTTAAGTGACAATGGATGGTTCAGGTTGCGACTCAAAATGTTGTTTTTGCAATGCCAGTGCTAGGTTCGTTCTGGGCATGCCGCTGCCCTCGTTTGAGACCTTGCAGTATCTTCACTACTATGACCGTGCCAAGAATGTGTTTGGTGACTTTTGGTGCCAAATCGGTGACCTTGGCCCTGACTTTGAACGCAGCAAGGTGCAGGCAGTGATCGACATCTCGACCACAAAGCCTTTGACGCCCCACGGGCTGCTTCAGGCATCCCGGTGCAACAGCTTGAAGGCTGAGTGCGGCAGGCTGGCAGAGATGCTTGATGCAGGTGAGCCGGCAGAGCCACAGTTGTGTTGATGAGGTTGCGCGAGGCCCATGTCGATGCCTGCGAAGTCTTTTTTTGCAGAGACCGCTTCAGGTCCCGGTGCCATCAGTTGGGTGCACTGATTGGCTGTTTCCGATGCAACTCTGTGAAGGCGCGCATGTTTTCGTGGAGCCCTTAGCTCAGCGACGGATGCGCTGGTAAGTCCATCGATGGACATGCCCTTCTTTTGTCGACGCATCCCGTGAACATGGTTATTTCTTCTCTTTTGAGGTGCCCTTTTCTTGATTCCTTAGGGAGGCTTGAAGTGTTAAAAGGGCACCTTGCCGCCTTGCCAAGGCTTCACTTGCCAAGTCTTCCACACAGCAGAGACGCAGAGACTTCTTCAGGCGCATGTTGATCCAGCTCCGAACATATGGGCTCACCGTTTCAGTGTCAAACCCCAACAAACTTACTGTCCAAAGGTTCTCTTTTGAGGTGTGGTTTTCTTGGCCCTTAGGGGGGCTCTGAAGCGCTAAACCAAGGGCAGAGATGTTCTGACTGATGAAATCAGAACTAGACACTACACTCACGTGAAAATGGGTGCTCATATATTTCGCTGTCTCACCACTTTGCCCAAACATCGCGGGTGATCCCGATGGTTTGCCCCTCCAGGAAATGGAAGCTGCCAGACCTAGAGGTCGAGGAGAGGTCCATGCCTAAAGTGGAAGGCGTCCATTCCTCAACTCACATCATGGCCCCTCACATTTCCTGCAATTCTCATGCCCGATGAGAGAGGCAGAGAGGTTCCTCCAATGACAATGATATGACCGGTATACTGCCCCCTCACCCGAAGTCTACCTTGGTCCTCGAGGAGTATGTCTATTGCTCATAGGTACATATATATATATTATGTGTATGTGATTATGGCAAAATAAACTACAACCAATATGGAAACTATTGAAAATGTTTTGGATAGTATTGGTCGTGTCCTGATTCATGAAACTTACTTAGGTATGATATAGTAGGCAAAATTCATCAAATTGATTTTAAAGAACTACTTCAAAATTTACCACAGGGCAGTCATAGAGACACTATTACGAAAGTCAGCCCCCGTAGAAGGCGCCAGCTGAGTTGTGTTTGGCGAACGAAGTGAGTAAGTAGGGGGTGTGAGGGGGGGGGTGGCCCGAGAAAGGGTTACGAGGTGGTGTTTAGGGGTCCACCGAAGTAAGGTTTTTGAGGTTGTTTTGGAGGTGATTCTTTGTGATTCTTGAGGGGGTGGTGATGCTGCAATTGACAACATTTGCACCATCTGAATGGCAAGGTGTAGTTTTACAAAGGCTGATGGTAACGCTGGCTTTCGTTTTGCAGTTTGTCAGGTGAAAAAACCATATTCTGATTGACTGACTAGTGTGTATATTTACAACTCGCCAGGTCAAGGTGAAGAAACCCAGCGCATGAGACCGCCAGCCTTGGGCGCATGAGGGCCCGCGTCCGCTCTGTACAGCTCCAGCGCGGCCCGCTGGTGAGCGAGGAAAGCTGGGCCCAGCATGGAGCAAGCATGGGAAGTAGTAATGGACAATGCATTTTCCAGCGCAAATGTGGAAGTGGACCCCCTTGACAGGTCACTCCTTTCTTGAAGGGTCGCTGAGTCCAACTAAATCTGCTGGGCCCAGTGGAGCCAACCAACCACCGAAAACATCGGCTTTTCAGCGCCTCCCAGGGCCGCTCCGTGTCCAAATGCCGCCGGGGAATTCGCAACCTTCTTTTCCACGTGTGGTTTTCGCCTGCGACCTCCGGCAGTGCAAAAAAGATGCAGTTTCTGGGGTTCAAGTAGGTAGCGTGGATGAGCGTGGAGATGATTGAGACGGATAGGATCTGGATGCCCAATGTCCATGATCTTCTTTGGTTCGGTGTGCTCCGTGGCCCGACCTCCTCTTCCTCCTCGAAGAATGTCGGAACGTCGATCCTTTGTGTGCCTTTTGAGGGCTGGAGGGCTACTGATGGTGCTTTCAGTGGCCCAGGCACTCCACCCCGTGGATGTTGTTTACCAAAGCCTTTGGTCCTGCCGTCGTTCTCTAGGTCGCTGAGGGTACTAACAAGAAGCGTGCGAAGTAGAATGCAAGTAGTGGAAGAGGCACAGGAGTGCCCAACACCAATGTTTCAACAGCAAACAAGGGAACCAAAAGGCTTGCCTGGTTTGTGACACATGTTTAGGATTGTTTAGGCATATATAACTATGCATAACTAAAAACAAAGAGTCGATGGAGGGACCCAACATGCAACTTGCATGGAGGTCTATGGACGCAAATCTTTTAGGCACCGCCCAACAGACATAGCAAACTCTTTAGACGTACGGAGTAGCCGATCTGCGTCCGCATACTGCGGAGAAGCTTCCAGCTGGATTTGGAGATGGCCCCGTGAATGGTAGCTCTGACATGTTTTGGCTGGGATCGGATAGGATCGGGAAGTGCAGAGCCCTTTTTTGAGCATATATCATGATACAATATGATATTTTATACTGTCCTGAGCCGAGTAATTTTTGGTCCTGTTTGGGGGTCTGCCCTAGAGTGGTATGTGAGTATAGTGGTGCCAGGTTGCCAGGCAGTGCGGTTCAGCCCAGAATTAGCAACCCCCCCGGCCCGAGAGGCCTGAGTGGTTTTACTGATCTGTCGACATGGTCCCCCCCGGCAAACTGGAAATGGGAACCTGAGAATTGTAGCCGTGGTGGAAGATCATGTAACTCTACATTCCAGTGATTTGGGGGATTTTGGGGGGTTCTATGTTAGTCTGCAGGATTCTGCAGGGTAATATGCCTTTGTTAAAACGGGTCTCATTTGCATAGTCTATATATGAGTGTATAGGGAGATGTGTGCATTTTTTAGTGGAATTCCGGATCTCATCCGTATCGTTCTTGGTGACCAGACCGCTTGGTCATCGACCTGACGCTCGGAGAAGCGGCTCAGTACCGTGTTTTGTTCTCAGTCAGTCGTCCACGTGTGCGGCCCACATGTGGGCCCCCCCTGGTTAGACATCGTTGTTTAAAGGAAATGGGAATCACATATATGGAATCCAACAAGCATTCGCAAACACCACCATGCATCTACCCTAGTGCCTGGTGTTTGGATCATTTGGGCGGATCATTGGGACGAAAGAAAATCAAGGAAACTTCAACCTTTTGAGATCCCCCCGCGGGCGCTGTGCGTCGAACGGTGCAGATCTCCCCGCAAAATGCCTGGAGCCGGTGGTCTTAGCGCAGGCGACGAAGCTGCACAAGGAGTTCCTCTCTGATCCCGCAGGTCTGGAGGGGGCGCGCCAGAACGCGCAGGTCCAGGGGTTCACGGTTCAGGGGATGGGTGAGCCACCTATAGGTCTCCAGGTAGCGAGTCCGACCGTGCGAGGAAAGTCAAGCAAGGTATCCTGGTGCCATGACCCACTGACCCACATGCCATGTGATACGGTCTGGATTTCGGGATGCTTTTGGTCCTTTTCTTTAGAGAAATGACGAGCCAGCAAGAGCTGTATAGTACGGATCGGTCTGGTGGTTTCAGTCTTTCTAGGAGTTCGAGCCAAGATCAGCCAAGCATCCAATCTGTAACGCTCATTGCTGCTTTGTGGGGTGCCGTTTGAGATTCTATACAATTGACTCCAAGAAAATTTGACCTACACTATCTCATGAAATCTGGGGTCCACACATATACATTATCTTACCTTCTCGAGTTGATCCTTCTATGCCATAGGCCATCCTGGTCTTTCTCTTTTCATCTCTTCTCTGCCTTCTCGGGCGACGGCCTGCGTCGCGAGCGCCGCGCGGAGGCCTTGATCTGCCCGCCTTGCGACAGTTGCTGAGATCCATCCAAGCGGAACGCCAGCATCGCCGGGGTCTTCCGAGTCGGTCGAAGAGCCACCGAGCTCGGTCGACGTGGGGAAGGGGCGTGGATCGTTTCGGCCGTAGTGTCGGCCGGCGGGGGCGAAACGAAGGCGAACGTGTTGGATGGGCAAGTCATGTTTGAACTGGCACACTCAGTCGGCACTCTTATGGTGCTGGTCTGGGAGGAAGTGACCATGTGCATCATTTGAGCCGAGGGGTCGGCTCCATGTGCCACCACTTTCTCGTGACTCCATTCTGTAGTGCTTGTGAAGATTGATTGAACCATAACTACGGGGATTGACTCGATCTTTGGGTCATTCATGGTCTTCCCACGGGTGCACACACGCACATAGAATCACATACGGAAAAAACATGCGATGAAGATATTGGTTGATTTTATCCTTCGATCAAGCGGCTCGGGGTCGCGAGATGTCTTTTTCCCAGGTGCAGAGAAGGTGGAAGTGTTGGAGGACCGCTTGCAGGTGCCAAGCGTCCAGTCCAGTCGGTGTCGGCGGCTAGGGTTTGTGGAAGAGCCTATAGGTTTTCACGCAATAGATCAAGTGATGTCAATGCTGGGTGCGCGTGGGTGAAGGTGTTTTGTGACCCGCTTCAATCAAAGCCCACTTCAGACATTCCGAGCGAAAGGCTGCAAGAGCCGCATGGTCAGGCCATATGAACATCCAAGATTTAGCCGACCTATACCAGGACACCCGGGCCAGGGGTGTCTATTTGATAGCCCCGAAAAGAGGTGATTCGGGGTGTCCATTAACCCACCCCGTGTGGGTCCTGGTATACCACAAGCTACAGGGAGTTGTCGACTTCTACTGCACTCGCCTACAGAAAGTATCAGAAAGTTCGGCTGGCTGAATCTGTTGACATGAGAATGACGGTGAGGATGAGGTCACAGTGGATCTGCAAGCGGGAAACGCCTATATATATAGTCACTCCGATCTCAATCGAAACAGGCCAGCAACCATGAGCTGGCCTTCCGACAGCACGAAGCAGACGTCAGTCCGGTACCTGAGCGCCTCTCAGCGGGGAAGCGTGTTTTTCACATTATGTTCATTGCTACTAGTAGCTTCTTGTTACTAGTAGCGATGGCCTCCAACCTACTTGCGATGGCCTCCACCTAATAGCGTCCTTGCCTTTCGAGCGAAAACAAACAAACAAACAAACAAACTCCCCATATTGAAGAGGTTTTTCAATCCAAATCGGGGGTTTAACCAATCAAGAGTGCGTTATTCCCTTTGTCCATTCTTAGCGCCTTCATCCACTGCACCGCCCATAAAAGCATATAAAGGCAATCTATCTCAGCCAAGTCAGTTCAAGCGATTCACCTGGACATGTTCGGTGATGTTCTGTTGGAAAACAGACGAATCGGAGCCCGAAGCACCACCCCCTGGAGGGTCCGAAAGGTCCGGCTACTGGACATGGAGTGAACCTTTGCGCTTATGCTCTTCCACTTCCATGATGAAGCTGGTCAGAGTGTACTCCTAGCGATCCACATACCCTGGCTGAGAAGGTGATGTTAGAAGACACTGTTGTGTAGGTGCCAGGAGGGTCCAGTCGCACCGAACCTGAGAAGTTACCACTATAGACCTTTAGGGCACACCCGGCCAGAGACCCACATTGTACCTCGATGGCATGAACCAGACGAGTTCAGACGAGTTCTATACCAACAGATAAGCCGGGTTTTCTCCGGTTCCATGTGGGTCCCGGAACGTGGTTGTACATAGCTTTGTGAGCCTTCCAGATCCTTCAAGCCTCTAGGCCAGCAGAGACCACCGAGGCCGAGCAGACCTCTACCGCTTGCAGAGAGCGGATCGCCCCAGGCGGTCCTCCGAGTCCGAGCGAGACCTACGGGTTGTTTAGAGGGGTCAATGTAGGTCATGTAGGCATATACCTGGGCTTCAGCCAGGGCCTCCTGTCCTAAGGGTGTTTAATATTGTTTTATAACTTATATAGCCCTTAGAGGTGAACGGGTGTCGATTCACCCTGATATCCATGTTAGGTTCCCATGCAGGTACTTGGGGAGTGGTATGTGCTTTTGGGCGAAGTCGCCAGACATCTCCGGGCCGAACCGGGTCGCCCGGTCGGCCCTGTGTGGGGGTGGGGTGTCCGGTCGTACCGAACCTCAGGTACGGTGAGCAGGGAGACTATTGATGTAGGGCCACTGGGCCGGGCGTCGTACCGAACCTGAGGTACGGTGCCAGTGGATCCTTATAGGGTTCAAAGACAGCACAGGGAAGCGTGCGAAGCGGCAGCCCACCTGCCCACCTCAAGTTCATGTTCGGAGGTGAAGCGTTCGAACTGGTCGAAATGAACCCCGTTTTCGTTGACGATGAAGATCGAGTTGTGTTGTTTTCCTCTCTCAGGTGACGCACACACACAAGAATTCCACTCTGAAAGGTAAAGAGCTTCTTTCTTCTCCCACCAAGACATGCAAAAACCCGGTGGTTGGCCCCGTGGACTCCACCCGCCCCCGTGGACTCCACCCTGGCCAGTTGGATGACGAAGGTGACGGTGCCTCGCTGGGGCGAAAGGCCAAAAGAGTGGAGAAAGAGCAAGTTGGTGCTTAGTAGGGAATAAGGGAATGAGCCCCGAATAGAGATTCTATTGGATCCATTCCCTCATTCCCTACGAGTCGCACCAGTCAGTTTAAGTGGCTTGGGATTCGTCCATGTTTTCGGAGGTTCTGGCCAGTGAGAGAGGATAGAGAGGCCCTCCAAGAGAGGTCCATGCGCCGAATTTGATGGCTTGCTTCTCGTGGTATTGGAATGGTCATGAATGGTCTTTGGGCAGCAGAATTCCCATTGGACAGTAGAGTATTTAGAATTATGACCTCTGGACCCGGGCCACGTGTCAGCCACTGCCATGTGGTGTGTTCATTCGTCACCTTTGTTGGGCCCCTGTGGAAGCTACGTCAATAGTTACCCAATTTTCTCCCCATGGAATGAGAGACCAGCAGCCCCCCCCTCGGGCAATTATGGCATTGAATCACGCCCAGCATAGAAGCAGCAACACGGTGATGCAGCCTCCGCAGCCCTACAGGCCGGGGCTGTTGAAAGGTCCACCTTTGGAAATGGGACATATACCATGATATACCCTCCACTGGAATGACCCATGGAAGCGGAACATGACCCTTTGGATTCCTTGGATGAAGTTTCTTTCCCAAATGCTCAATCATGCGTGGTTTAATGATCCCTAGGGCTCCAGTCGTACCTCCTCAGAAGGTACTTGGACCCTCTAAACCCACCCCAACCACTTTCTCAGAAGGTGTTTGGAGCCCTCTTCCGTGCCGAAAACCCCGGGAGCTTTGGCCATCGCGGCTCGCTGGCCGAGCACCAAGGACCTGCTGGGGAGCGAGGAATCCCGAGTCGAGGCCCGCGGAATCCCCGCGTTGGCGGCTGGAAGAAGCCGCGAAAATCAAACGGAAGGCAGGAAGCCTGGTGAAGAACCTACAGATGTCAAAGAGCAAAAGTTGGAATCGGAATGATGATGGAATCGGAATGTGCCACCCAAACCTGACCTATAATTATATATTTACTTCGTGCTTTCTACCTGATTCTTCCTCTGAGCTTCTAAAAGACTCCGGGATCTGAATCTGAACAAGCATGTCGGCCGCCCAAGAAGTTCCAAGAAGTCCTTGGACCAACGTGGTGAAGCTTCAAAGCAGGAGGGTACAGGGTACACTCTGACTGACGAATATGTGGAAAATGGATGAACATGGTCCTGGAAAACTATTGTCCTTTACAAACAGTACCCACTGGATCCCAGCGACGTACTATATAAGGAACCAGGGATTCGTTCGGTCTATGGTTTTAGTCTTTTGGAACCACTGGTTACCAGCGACATCGTGGTAACTGGATGCCCTCGTCGGGTAGGATAAACTCCACTTCCATGGAAGACGACTTTCTCTTGGTCCCAAGCATTCCGAGAAGTACGGCCTTGAGATTTGAAATCAACACATGTCACGTCATCCACTCCTAGCATTCTATACTGCAGTCCATGGAATCATACATGCGGAGGAGATTTTACACATTCTTGTGAACTCAAATTGCAGTACTTTGGGTAGCTTTGTGAGGTTTGGGGGTGGTTGAGGCTTCCACGGTGCACATCGATTGGCATGCCAAATGTCCCCGTGCGCAGGCCTACGAGAAGCAAACCGCACTCCGACCATGCTGAGCACCTCTTTTTTTTTTGGTCCTTTAGGACTCGATCTCAAAACGCACCCAGGCCGTTGCTTGTTTCTACCCCACCAGCCACCTCCAGCCCATCAATCCGGATTTTTGATTGATCACTTGCAGGGAGATCCACTCAGTCGGAGGTCCAGGTCCCACACTGATTCGTCCTCCATCAACGTACCGGGTGGGCAGAACTTTGTGCCAACTCTGCTGAACATCGGAGGGGGAACTTGTTGGCTACGAACGGGGCGACCCCGCAAGGACGCTACGAGTTCCGGGGCGACCCTGGCCTTACCACTAGGAGGGAACTTGCAGGGAACCGGGCGAAAGGATTCGATTGAGATGTTTCCTGATCTGATCTGGCGACCCTGGACCCTCACGAAGTCCTACATGAGTTGTGAGGGTCAAAACCCGTTGGCCAACGGGTTGGGTCCTGTCGCTTCGCTTTTGGGGAAGAAGATTTCAAGACCCATCACCATTCCTCTGTTCTGAAACCAGGCTTTTGGGACTACGAGGTGTATGGTGCTCCCGCAACGTTGCGAACGATGAGAAGCAAGCATGTCCCTGCGTCGTTCGCTTCATGTGCTCACGCAGGGAGACACGAACTTCATGGGTCAACAATGGCCGTCAATTCTGAATTCTATTCAGGGTGCAACCCGACCAGGCAGGCCTTACCACCCAACCAACCACATGCTGCCAGCCTTCTTCGGCGCTGAGGCTGAAGCCCGGAACTCCCTCGAGCATTTCCTCCGCTTGGAACTGACCCAGGTGACTTTCGGGACAAGGGACGTTTCCACGGCGGGGAAGCACTGAGAGCTGCTGTCTGTTTTTGGTTATTTGAGTTGGGGAGAGGGTGTGTGTGTGTCCCACCCTGTATCCAAGGGTCTCACCTGATGTTTCTTCCCACTAAAGCAGGGGCACATGGCATCCATGACCCACCGCGTGCAACGAAGCTACGGTCATGGATGGGAAGGGAAGGCTGATCACCTTCCTATCTGCCTTGTGACAATACATCACTCTTCCTGCGCTGTTCCTTGCTTCCATGGCGATTCATGTTTCCTTCCCCTAAACCTGTCCACTGGGTCCAGCTGCGCTGATGCCGATGTTTTGCCGCCTAACCTTGTTGAGCAGATGTTCAACCAGGTTTCCAGCCATTGCGGCGGTTTTTGCGAGTCTTTTGCGCTACGTATTCACCGTGGATTCTCTCTTGAATGAACCCTATCGAAGTGTGTGTGAGGGTTCAATGAAATGATGTGAAAGAATGCGTGGATTTGCTATGAGTTGCAGTTCGGGGGTTGGTCCCATATCAAAAAGCAATGCCCCTGCAGCGCACTTGTTCACTGTTACCTCTTGGCATCAAAGTTTTTGAAATTCCGGTCAGATCCGGTCAGTCTCCTACCCACAGATGCCCCACGTATGCAAATATAGTCAAATAACGTCAAGTATATATATATAATACCTGGCGCCTGAGTGACCCTTGTTCTGGAGATTTTTGGAGGATCAAAAATATGTTTTTTCTTATCAAAGCAGAGGTCAGTCAGGCTTTAGGTATATAATATTGTATATATGTATATATGTATATTTATATATGCTGCTGGTTAATGTTAGTACAATATATTACAATATATATACCGCCTGGCATGGCCTACCAGGTCTTTGGTCGAAGGACCCGCGATGAACGGGGCTTCGTGCCCCACGACGACGAGATGATTCAGAAGCATCCCGACCGAGAGAGAACAGGGCCTGTCCGGGGGCTTTGGTTTGGAGGCGGCGGAGTCTGGTTGGAGTTTGGGTCAACGAGTTTTGCCCTGTTGGGTTGGTTGGTTTGGGGATGTTTGGGGCGTTGGTTGGAGTTGGTTGAGTTCGGGTTGGAGTTGGTGGGCATGATGATGACCAGAATGAATGCATGAAGACCATCCAAAGATGGATTCCATTTTGGTGATGGTTGATTGACAGTGAACATCGAGGTCCGCTCGTGGGTGTCAACCTTGCTGATCCTAGAACTCAAAGACCTCATTTGACTGGAGGTGGTCATCAAAACGCCGACTCCACCACGCCGACTCCATGAAGTTCTCGGGATTTTTCAGGACCAGATTTGGACCTAGGTCAGACTGGACCTGTAGGCTTAAAACATCTTAAAATCCATCGTGCCGCGGTGGCATGCTTTTGCCTCGGCAGCTTTCAGGTTGCAGGGGTCAGTTGACAGCCACGAACACATCACCTTTGGACAACTCACCCCCGGTTCGTGAAAGGGAAGGTCGTCTTCCTTTGGTGACCATGCCATTCACTTCCAAGCGATGTGTTCGTCAGGAGTGTACCTGTTCCACCCTGTTCCTATCCTTCTCGAAGGTTGGCCTTCCCCAGTGGCTGGTTTAACCTGAGGTCAGAAGCAGAGATTCTGCGAGAAGGTCCGCCGGACCGGGGTCCAGAAACAGCCGATAATTGCTAGTGTAAGTAACATGTTTCATGAGTTTGGTGATTGGATTCAAAACTTAATGCATCGCATTGTTCCAACATGGCCGATTCAGCAGATTGACCCTTCGACAGAAGGCTGGAAGGCCATGTTAATGACATAGAAGGATCATAAGGAGCCACTTTTTAAGAAGGAGACCGGTATCGACACCCCCTTCCCAACCGGCTTTTGGATGGTAGACTGGCCATCCCCGTTGAAATTTCCTTTCTAAAATTATGGGCCTGGAGGCATTTTGTAATAAATTTATGTTGGCAATCTTTAAAATGAGGTTGCGGCCTAGCATTTTGTAGACAGGCGTGTTTGACGCCTACGGCGCGCAGAGTACTTTGTAGTGAAAGAAGGGGGGTGGGTCCCACCATTTTGTAATAACATTAGTTTACTATAGAATGGCCATGTGGTAGTGCAACAATTCATTCTGTAAGCAATCTGAATCATTTTGTAAGGCCGTAACATCGTTTAAAATATGGCCAACATAAATTTATTACAAAATGAAAGCCCTATAGTGGAATCCAGGCCCATCATTTTAAGAAAGGAAGTTTCAACGGGGATCCCCCAAGAGACTGGATCGTGCCCGCTGGGCTTGATCCCTCTGCTGTGAATCAGAAGGGTCAGAACAGGTCAGTAGTGGATGTAGTGGTCACACTGACCACGTGCAGAACTGGTTTTGACACCCTATGGGTGTCTGATTCTGGAAGGGATTTGGTTACAGAATGTAACAGGGATATCAAAAAAAGATAGAATGTATGTCATTTTGTAAAGTTGAAGGGCCGAATAGACTTGATCAATTTGTGGACAAACGGACTCATCTAGTAGAGAATAAGGAGACAACAGACTCTACAAAATGATATTGTTTTTAAATTCCCTGGGAGGGCCCATCATTCTGTAGATTTTGTGCATTTTCATGTTTCTACAGAATGACATACAGTTACCTCGAGCGCTGCATTTTGTAGGTATTTCATGGTTTGTTGTACTTTTTTTACCACCCCCATTTTGTAGATAGTATCATTTTGTAGAGCCAAAAGTATTTTTTACTACAAAATGACTGTCTCGACCCCACGCCCTGAATTTCAACGGGGATGACTGGCCTATGTTCACTCTTCCAGGGAGTCGAACTGGGAGGTCCCCCTTTTTCGAATGCACACCCTTGCTTGCGCCTATTTGGATTTGTAAAATCCAGGGTATCCACCTTAGTCACCCTAGTCGCACGGGGGATGATGAAGTTCCACGATATCACTCCACTCCGGCGACCCAGAAAAACCAAGACCACCACCACTCCGACCCAACTCAGCTCCGGCCACAACGATCCTGGCGACACCGAGCGAACGGACGAGCTAGGCTACAGAGGACAGTCCTTCGACGGACTCCTCACCGACCTCTTCGATCCCAGGTCCTGGCTTAAGGATCCAGTCGTACCGAACCTCAGGTACGGTCATGTGTTCGACACGACGGTCGGTTTGGCGGGTCGAGTCGTACCTTCTGAGGAGGTACGACTGGATCCCTAGGTTTAGACTCAGAAGATCACTCATCGACCTGACATGACCTGACCCAGATTGACGCTCCGACCGACGCCACCCGAATCCCCACGCGAAGGATGAAGAAGGGAGGCGGATCGCAGGTCTTCACAGCGTCGACCGGAGGGGTTTTCCGCTCCTGGATCACCCTACTAGATCCTAGATCCCAGACACGGCTAATGGGACTGCCATATATGCCTACATTGACCCCCCTGGCACCACCCCTGGCCGTTTCTCGGCATATATATGGCAGTCCCAGACAGGTTGTGGGGACGGATCGCCAACGCATGGGCGGCTCTACTCCGTTTCCCGACGGTGCGGCTCTGCAGGCACTCTGCGCGACACGGTGCTGGTGACGTATGTGGCTCCCTACTCGGAGCAGAAGCGCCACATCTCCTACCGCGTGGCCGGGGGGCAATAGGTGACACCGGGTCCACGGTGCTGGTGATGCCTTTTTGTGGAGTGAGGGGTGGTGGAGTGGAGTCTATAGGTGCTACACCCTGCGCGGACGATCGGTGTGTATGACGTGGCCGGGGTCTTTTTGGTGGATAACTATGCCAAATTTCTGCCTAACATTGGCTGATTTTTACAGATGAAAAGCAGACATGTGTCACAGTTGGAAGAACATGATGAAATGAAGTGATCACCCACACCAGAGCTCCTTGAACTTACCAACGTAGTCTCAACATTCTCCAACTGTCTCCAGAGGTGTGTTCAGAAGCACTGGTCAAGCTCGAACAAACACCCACTGGAAAAAGACTCCTTCCACACATGGGTGGCATTGAACTGTTTCTTTTTGCCTTTTGGTGTGGGGGGGTGTCATTGTCTGGTGCCCAGCCAACAGAGTTTTGAAGGACCCTATAGACTATCCCAGTCTGGGGGCGCCCAGGTTTTCCAGGTCCTTTCGGGTCATACCTCTCGTGGAACGGTGCAGGCAGAGGATACCACAGTCAAGACCTTGAAGGAGGATGTTTGCACGTGCCCTGAGCGTCACGCCCAAAACATCGAGGGTTGAAACTCTCGACCTTTGGTTTGGACCAAGGCGTCAATAGGAGCTCGGGTTCATGGCTGGATTGAAGGAACAATGACATAGTCGTCGTATATTAATATTTAGTGTGTTTTCAAGAAAACTGTCTATTGCTGTACCACGATGCGGGTTCTCCTGCACTAAACGCATGCCGCGCAAGCTGTCTCAAAGGCCCCTGCCCACCTTTCCCGGCCGCACCTTTCCATATACCCCGGCAGTAGCTAACCAGGGAAACTCTTCAACTGCTTCGGGGATGGGTTCGCCCAACCCTGGGTCAACAAGTGCAAGAGACACCTTCCAGTGCCGTGGATGGCCTCTCCAGCCGTGGGGATGGTCCGAAGCTCATGCGAAGCCTGCGTGCCAGGTGAATTCGGGTCCACATGGAGTGGTTCTTCCCAAAGAGATGGTACCCTTTCCCCTTGGTTCAACTCCTAATCCGCAGACCGGGGCGGCAGGCAGGTCACGAGAATGACGCCAAAGGCTCCACACCTGGGACCCCTGCTTGCGATGAGGTACTGGGGCTTAAATGAGGTGGAGTTTGTGCTGAAGCTCGCCAACAACTCCAAAGCTCACGATTCTTTGAAGTCCATCGCCTGCTCGAAGTTGTTGAGATGGGTTGGAAGTGGGTACAGATCTGAGCTGCCAAAGTTAGATTATGTGAGATTGATTGAAATAGGTACAACTCCATGCAAATGGTCCACAGCTTCGCTGGACCAGCTTGGAGGGGGAAGGGTAGTTGCCATGGGAGCATTGTGGGACTGCAGTAAGCTTGGAGTTGTGCTATTTAATTCATGTTACTTCTGGGTCGCTTCATCTCTCGAACATGTCCTGCAAGCTGCCTTTTGTGGAGGGTATTTAGGTATTGTCTTCCCAATATCTTCCATGGATGTGAACACCTTGGGCTGGCAATGCCTGGCATGTGGAGAACCGTGTGTAACGATGTTCGGATCGAAGCGGCTGCAAGTGAGAGATGTGAGAGGAACCTCCATCTTCTTCGTGCCAGCGACCCGCCCCAGCGACCTGCCGCATCTTCACTGAGGGTGATGGAGGCCTTCCGCGCACATGAAGAGTCGCACTTGATGCTGGTTTATAAGACCCCGCGCCTTGGAAGTTGGCGCCGTTTTCGCGGGGTGGGGCTCCGGTCGACCAGGTCGTGGACCAGGGACGAAGGATTCATCATTTGGAAGTGAAGGCCATCATCTTCCTGAACATGTCCTAAATCAGTTTCAAATCATTCCAGCAGTCACAGGGCTCGGGGTGCTCTCCATGGAGGGAGGTAGTCGGGGTGCCCCAGAACACATCCACTCACGTAAGGGGACCAAACACCGACCGGCATCGCGCCGCGAGGCGACCGGGTGCCGGGAAGGGTGCCGCCCTCGTGGTGCAAGGGTCCGCGAATGAGCGAATGAGGAGTGGAATGAAGGAATGAGCCCCATGAAGATCAGATAGTTCTTATCCCATAAGGAATGTTCTTATTTTCATGAGGGATCAGATATGTTCTTATATAAGCCATGAAAGATCCTTTTTCCGGACACATCTACTGGGAGGGCTCGATCGAATGGGTGACTGAGTCAGAGCCTTTGTGACTGCATGCGGTCATTTGGTCAAATGGGGTAGGGTAGACATTTTGGAGTATAGTGGTCAGAGTGTAACCAGGTGCACATGATTAACCTTTTCTTGCAGGCAGATTCCTTCGTTGGTCTCGACGAGCTGCGGGTTTCCGCCTTTCTGGCGGTTGTTGTGGGTCAGGAAGAACATCTCGATCATGTCCTCCGAGCACGGGGACATCTTACCACGCTCAGGCAGTGGACCGGCGTGCTGCGTGGCTGCGTGCTGTAGGTCCCCCAAAGACCTTAAGCAGACTCCGCTGAAACCCTTCAAGGAGGTGGACAAAGACCTTTCTCCTACCAAGAGGGAAATGGTCCACTTCCGTTGAGTGTTTCAGGTAGCTTCTTCCCTCCGCCGATAGAGGTAGACTGGCCTGAGCCCTCTTGCCAGGTCGGAAGCGGCTCAAGACCCTGACCCCCGGGGCTATCTCGGCAGGCGCTGCATGAGGTGTTTGGACGATGCGCAGATCAACAACTGACCACTGAATGATGTGATGAGATGAGTTTGGGGGCTCTGGAATTTCTGTGTGCCATTGACATTTTGCCTAGGTTTGTGGTCCTGACTATTTGATGCAGGAATGTTGCAAGACATAGCAAGACTATGACATGGATCGGGCGCAGGGATTGCATTAACCAAACTGCGAGTGACTGACGATTTGGTCATTCCGAGAGTTTGTTGCAAGGGTAGTCAGGATCTCCCCTGAATCTTTGAACAATTGCCAGGACCCTCCTGTCGGGGTGTCTATTTATAGCCCCTTAGCTGTGATTCGGGGTGTCCATGTCTACCACCCAACTCCTGGGGGTCCTAGTACTTGCAGTTGCTTGATTCATAGCCATTTGGCTTTGGAGACCTGAGCACCGGACACCAGATACACATGTCACATGACTTCATGGCCTCGGATCCTCGGATCCTCGAAGCCTTTGGCGCAAAAACATTGACAGACGAAGGAGTCCGACTGTCCGGACGAAGGCTGCACCTGCCACGCTCTATGAACTAAGAGAATTGGAGTGGTCCAATCCTGCTAAGGAAATCCTGAGCCTTAAGTCTCCCAACCAGGAGTCACGTTCGACGGGGTGCCTGCCGAACTTGGAGGTAGTCGGGGTGCCCCACGTCGAACGTGACCCCTAGAGGTCATGCCTCCACTTCGTCAGGTCTTGGTTTCCCTCAAGTTCTTGGAGAGTTCCCCTGCTGCAACTGAAGAGGTGTGTGGTCCTAGCTCCACCCAATTCCAGGTGGACCCTGTATGACCGTGCACGACCCAAGCTTCGGATGTGATTGCAGTCTAAGACCCAGGTCTCAGCAGTCGTAGTGTTTGTTCGCGCGTTTGGGAGGCCCGATCCACTTTTTTCATCATTTTAGCATACCTAGCTCCTGATATCTCCTGATACTGGTAGCTCGCCCCCCAAATCCCACTGCAAGCCCCTTGAAGAAAAACCACTGCAATGCACTCAGCTTGCAGCCATTGCATGAGGCTTCCAGTATGATCGACCTCTAGGGCCCCCTGACGTCGCCAGGCGGCCCGAGTCCCGGCCCTCGTGGCGCGGACGTGCCGCTGCGGCGGAGCGAAGCGAACAAGTCCTTGGCTGAAGAGATGCTGCTGCTGCCGGGCCTCTTCAAGCTACTGGGATGATGCGAGACGTGCTGGGGAAAAGGGAGACTCTGGGAGACCACCCAACGAAAAAAGGGAGACGAGCTGAACCTCTAAGAAGCTTCTTCCGAAGGGTCTAGTATATGGTCTACTAGGGCCACTGGGGGGCCTCCCAAAAATCGGGGCGAAGATTCACAAAGATGTGCATGTGTTTGGTTTTGAGCTATACTGCCATGAATCAACTTTGGAGGCCGGTCACGTTGTTTGGTTTCCTCTTACAGAGTCTTTTTTTTCGATTCCTGTAGCCCGATGGTGGCCTCAAGCAACATGCTCCACTTGCCACTGCTGGGTTCGTTGGACAGATTCCGTTTGGCATGCCAATTTGCCCGTTTGCTGGATCGCTGTTTGAGGTTGCTGGATCGCGCCCAGTGGTCAATGGAGCCGAACATCCGGGTGTTCTTATTGCATTTCATTGAACAGCTAATAGCAGCTCACACGTCTCATGCACCCAAATCCCTCTGGTCCCTCCCTCTTTCTCGCTCACCATGCCGCTCATGAGCCGTGAACGTGCTTCTTCGCCGTTGGAGCGGCGAGCTGTTGTGGGGAGCTGTTTGGTCGGCTCGACCTGGCAGGGAACCACCATGAAAGACCCATGGAGCGACCGGGAAGCTCCGCGAGGTTCATGACGCAGCGCGATCGCAATGCCAAGAAGCCGCTGGGCGGTGGGGGGTTGAAACGGTGGTTTGTCGTGACGCGCGCGTCCGTTCTGATCGGGGTGGGGGATGGGAGTGTGGGAAGGGGCAGGGGATGGAAGGGGACGGAGTTGGGGGTGACCAGATGTTCGTGAGGAACGAGCTGGGTGGAGGGTTGGTGAAGAGGAAGCGGTGACCATTTGGACGGGACTTTCTAGTTGAGGATAGTTGATGGTATTTAGATGGTATTTGTTTGGGGAGCAACTGAACTTATATATTGCCCACATAAGGATGTCGGTCGACGGTCAATCATTCCTCGGACTGGATCTGCCACTGCCACTCCACAAAATCCCCACCATACAGTAGTTTCAGAATAGATGGCACGTTTCCCCCAGAGCATTTTTAGATGGGGTTCCATATAAACCACCGAACTGGGGAGGCCCAGACGTGCCATTGAACCTCTGAAACCACCACAGACGTCTGGTAGGCGCCTCTCGTGTGTGCTACCTGTGCTAATTTGAGGCACTTGGAACGGCTGAAGTTGCGGAGGCTTTGCGCCCGGAGCCTGAGTGGAACGGGAGTCATGCGGGAAGCGCCATGACATTGGCCTTTAATGAGGGAACTGCAAAGGATGAAACAGGATTCAGGACCCATCGAACATATATCATATATATTTATAATATCTATATTAAAATACTTCTTATAGCTTCTTAGAAGGCCTTTGAACCCCAAAGGTGGTCATACTTTGGAAGATTTTGGAAGCATTTATTCTGTTTCTTCTTCTTCTTCTTCTTTCGCCTTGCCGTGGTGACCATGAAAATAAACGTGGCATGTTTTACGGCAAGCCTTGAACCGTCACCGATCAAGTGGAATTTTGTTGCATTGGTATGGTCCATATTTTGATGAGCAATTTGTAAGCGACATCACCTTCAAGCAAGCGTATCGGATTGGGAGGACCACCGACAGTCAGAGCATCTTAATCATGCACACTTGGATCGCGGTGTGACGGTGTATTTTTGCATGCAGTCTTGCCGTCAGCCACGGGGATGCTCGCGCAGCTGCAAAACTGCTGCATCCGTATTTTGTGCCACTATTTTGGGTCCTTTGTGCGGCCTTTTGTTCATTTCAATCTTGAGCCAGTCGAATGGATCGAGACCCTGTCAAAGGCTGTGGAATCCCAAACGGCCTGGACGCCACGCCGAGCCTTAACGTGTCATCTCACACGTGTCTTCGTGGCCTCATGCAATGTGTACCCTGCGGAGGCTTCCTGGGACCCATCGACTGTATAGCCAGCCTGTCCCCACCAGAGATTGATCGACATTCTGATGATCACGTTGCATTGGACCTCCTCAAAAAAACATGAGGCTATCTCCTCCAGTTCTGGCGCTGATCTGGGGAGAAGATGGGAGAAGATTGGAGACACCGCTATGTAGGTTTGGAGGGTCCAATCACCTGCTGAGAAGGTACTTGGATCCCTAGGGCAGGTAGTATTCCAGGTCTACACTCACTGGAACTCTCTGGAACTAGCGAAAGTGGCCGTGCCCCCCGATTTCGGGAAGACCGGTCCGAGGACGTTCACTCCACTGAGTCTCCAGCCCAGCGCTACTTCGTTCGACCGAGGCCTACCTGACCATGGCCCTTCTCACGGCCTTCACCATTGGTCTCATCCGCCCCCCGGGTGTCGGCTACGAGTGTGTCACAGGCCTCTTCCACCGCGGCCCGGCGGTGGTTTTTTTGGCGATAAGACATGATATTGACGTGAGTCGATGCTCTCATGTCACACATCCCCGTTCTGGCTGATGTAGGTGATCGTGTAGGCTTAGCTAGCCAGCTGTCAGAGGCCAGCTGCACATGGGCTTCACGACTCCGTGGGTTTCCCTACTTCTCCCTGTCCGTCTTGATTCGTGGCACACATTGGCCAGGCATCTCAGAAGCCTTCACAGGCGCGGATCCGGGTGTATGGATGAAGCGGAGGTATGAGCAATATTTGTCATGGGGCTGTGAGGTTGTGCATTTGCGGGAGTGGTTTTTGCTCCAAACACGTTAGAAACCAGGAATTGTCCCGCCCAATGGCCCGGAGCAGAAAGAAGATGAGGACTCACATTGTAGTTTGACAGTTTGACCATGTTTTACTTAGTGCTTTCTGGCTTTCTTCACGACTTTGGTCAAAGCTCACGCCACAACCAGCTCTTTGCTTTTCCGTGCCATACTTCCCGCCTGAAGGTCCGCTCCGTGCTCATGTCTTTCCGCGCCACGCGGTCGGTAGGTGGAGTGCACTCCGGACCCTTCGATGCCATCGGCTCTCCGGAAGAGATCTACTCTTGGCGCCCCGGCGAACGAGAAGAAAAGGCGGATGCACCCCATAGCACCTATATAGCGCCGGAGAGCGGAAGTTGGAAGTGTGCTGAAAGGGGGAAGCTGAAGATGCGGTGAAGACGAAAAAGACATGAATTCTATACTTGGGGTGACTCTTAAATGCTATATTGGCTACTTAATGATAATTGTATATAATTGTTTCATGCTGTTTATAAATATAGGCTAGTATTGTAGGGTGATCAGTAGGGTGATTTTTATATTCCCAGACTGGGTCATCATCCTTTGAGCAAATCCAAGATTAGGACGTTTCTACCTTTGACAAGTTGACACGCACACACACCCTGTCCTTGCACTCCGCTCCATAGCAGCCTGACGAAGATCAGTTGGCACCACACTAGACACTAGAATAGTATGTACAGTATGTACCTGGTCTCACCCATAAAAAGTGGCTGTAGGATCTGTAGAAGGATCCCTTCTTTTTACTTACATAATACATTAAGACATTGAACCTCTTCAAGCTCGCCAACCATCGCTGCAGCGCAGCCGGCGGCGCGCTACGCGCTGCGCGGCTCCATCAGGTTGGAAGACACCGTCTCCGTCCCAGACCCTAGAACGGATCGGACGGTGGAGGTCTGGTGCGCACCAGACGGGGAGTGGAGGCCTCCTGAATCTGGGGTCTTGATTATGGAGGTTGGGGAAAAGGTGTTTCAAGTGGTTTGTTCCAAAGAAGGTGGGTCAGCTATGGCCAGCTGGGTCTTCACCCTTCAGATAGAAGGAACACCACCCTTCAGGCTCGAAACCTGGATCGGACATTGGCAGAATCTGACTAGTCACGCGCAGCGAACGGGGTCGGTACCGCTGCACCGAGGGGTGCCCCTCAGGCGCAGGTCTTCACGGAGGACTCGATGCTGCGAGAGTACAACTATCTGGTGGGCTACTTGCAGGTGCCAAAGAAAAATCAAAAACAATATCTCCCAATCAGGCTGAGACACGGATCGTTTTGCAAGAGTGCTAAAGGAGTGGCTAAAGGCTAAAAAAGGACCGAACGAAGTTCGCGCTATTTTTTCCATCTTTGGCGCTGTCGGCAACGTTAGTTTTCATGTTCATTTTTTTCTTTTGGTGGGGGGAGTGTAGAAGTCAAAAATATCAAGGTTTCTTAGGGTGCCTCAAAGGGACCCTTTGCGATCCTTTGAGGTCTAACTGCTGGCACATGTAGTAAAATTGGGTAAAGGTTGGTTTTGAGTGAGAGGGGTTGACACAGTTGACACTGACGTGTTTTTTTAGTGACGGATTTTGCATTATCACGAATTTTCGGAATGTGAGGGAAAGTCATCATCCTTCAGATGACATCATGAACATGTTTGACTTGCACGATGCCCCCCAAAGGAGCACTTCTTTGGATGCCTACACGGCTACACCCTTGCATGTCCATGTTGTTGTTGTTGTCGTGGTTGTGGTTGTTGTGGTTGTTGTTCTTGTTGTGGTGGTTGGTTGGTTGGTTGGTTGGTTGGTTGGTGTCTCCCATCCATTCCTTCCTTCATTCCTTTTGACACTCTGGCCATCCAGAGCGCTCTCCTCCCCACGGCCCCACGGCGCCGAAGCGGCGGCGGCACCCGTGGCGGAACACGCAGGTCTTAACGCAGCGCGTGGCGGAACCCTCGAGCTCCACGTGTTATGGCCCGGAGGCGGGGATGTTTCTCCAGAGCGGCGAGCGGAAATGGCTGCATGCTGTCTGGTGTTCCAAGCTCTTCAGCTTTTGTCTCGAGTTGGATGGAAGAGTGGTCAACATCAATCATATGGTAACATCATCTAATAATCTAATAGCTCCCTCCACGTCATTGACCGGCTTCGGGGCGTTGTGGGCTGCACGCGGGGTGAGAATCCACGGGAGACCGCTTTCCATGCGCCACGCGGACTGTTTGGGGTCAAAGAGGCATCTCTATGCCATGACCGGTCGAGACAGCGGGGCGCGCACTGGATGGGTGTGCACGTGGAGAGCTTTATAGAGACAGCAAAGGCATACTTAGGACACATCCTAGGACCTAGGAGTTTGGGGAAATCCCCATAGATCCCCACTATACTACTATTAGAAAATTATAATGATGGTGTTTTGATGGTGGGGGAAACCACTTGGGGCATGGGTGGCTGGCTGCGTCTTCACCCACTTGGCCGCCTGAAAGGGGGTTGGGATCTTCGGTCTGAGCGCCGCAGCGAGCAGAGAGGGCTTGAACTTCTCCAGCCTCCCCTGCAGCAGCCTCAAGCGCCTGGGAGGGAGGAGGACCTAAGGACAGGAGCCCCACACTGTGACGACAGGAGTCAAGCTGTAGGCGACAGGAGTCCTCGACAGGAGGAAGCCATGTTCTCACACCTTTCCTGATTCTTCCTTCAGTGGGTGGGTTGGTTCATGTTAGATTCCAACCATCTTTTAAATCAGTTTGTTCCAACAGGAACAGCCCGTGCGTTTGTCTTGAAACCGAATGCCGCAGTGGAGACGGTCACAGACCACCAGTAGTGGTGGCTCAATTGGGTCTCCCCTTGGAATGCTGAGGTGTGCATTCTTCCTTTCATTATGACACGGTGGGGGTGCCCAGGACCCAGTCCGCTACAACGATGTCGGGCGGGGCGCAAAGCTGCCAACCAACATGTTGGGGCTGGCGCCAAGAGTGGGCACCACAATGGACAAATAGGTGGAGAGATGGTGCCCACATTCAACTTGGTAGGCTTGAGATAGTACCGAGTTCAACCGATTCTTGAGATAGCTATCGTGTGGAAATATACATGAATTACGTGCATGGCCTGGCCCCGATTTCAGGTCTGACCCCTTTTTTCGATCAACCAACAGGTGGTGGTTTTCCAGCTCCATGATTCCAGGGAGGGTCAACAGATCACGGACCCTTCCACCACCGTGAAAATGACTCGTCCAGTTCCCCCAGCACCCTGTTCAGCGACCTTGAGAAAGCTGAGGGAAGCTTCTCAAGACTCATGTGGTACCTGTAGGTTAGCTTGCAACCACCAAGCCAGTTCCCACACTGATCATTCGTCCTCCATCAACTCCTACATGCTCGTTCGGTCCAAAGCCCTAGTTAGTCCCTACTAGATGTTGGGAGTGCAAACTTGTTGGGCTACAAACTGGATGGCTGATCAATAGGCTACAGAACCAAATCGAGACACGTCCCCCGAAGACCCTTTTTGGTCTTCACTGCCGGAGTCGTTCAACCCTATTTGTTGTAGAACATCCAATTCATGTATGTTTATCCAGTTCATCCTGCAGTCAACCAACCCCAGATACTCCATGGGACTTGCATCGCCGATCAGTTGGACTGGTTGAAAAGGGCTCAATGGTAATTAGGCCAAAGAAACAAGTCCAGTGTCAACAAAGTTTCAGCCTTTGACCACCCCGTTGCCGTACCCTTTCCACTCACCAACCCCCGCTCGCCGCCGCTCGCGAAACAGAAAAACCGCACGCATGCCGATCCGGACAACCGAAGGTCGGCGCGTTCTTCGCGCGCGCAATGCGACGAGGCGGAGACGTCGCAGCCACAGATCCAGCAATACTTTGAGGACAAAGTGGGCAAGGCGCAGCGCAGCCGGCGGTGCGGAGCATGCAGAAGCCGGTGGTGCCTCTTTTGGGAACTATATATATACCCGTGACAGAGCAGACGAGCCGAGTGTGAGTTCTCTTTCTGCAGATTCTCGGTGTATCTTCGTGTTGTATTGGCATTGGCGAGGGGGTAAGAATGCCATAAGATGATATAAGAGGAGCTCGAGCCAAAGCTGCTCTTTTGCCAGACATTGGGGTCTGACTTGATCCGTTTCTTGGAGCTTTGGCGATCCCAGGGTGCCCTGACGATCACGTTTCCTTTGATCACCCAAATCCCGGGTTGCCATGTGCAACCATGTATCCGTGGTGTGTCTACACCATACCTCGTGAGGCTCGAAGGCAGGCGCCATGCCGGCCTCGCTGCGTGACAGGATGGGAGGTCCATGTCCAAGCCTTGGGAACACCAGCCTGGCGTCACCTCAGGTTGGGCCGGGAAGTCGCTGCGTCGCTGGTGGCCGAGCAATTCCGGGTTCATGACAGCGCTGTGGCCGAACAGAGCAGAACAGGCAAGATCAGGCAACGATGGTGGCGGTCAGGACGACGGAAGTGACATTCTGCAGGTTTAAAGAGGAGTTCTGGAGGTTGAAGAATAGTGTCCGGTTTTGCTCAAGGTGTTTTTTTAAAGTCTCCCTATGGGTAACTCCATATGGATAATCCATTTCCCAAACCAGGGGAATAAGTTTTTACTGGTTCTACCTTCCTGGACCGCAAATCCAAGATAGGGTTTCTCCAAGGCATGGGCTACTTGGATGTTCTTGTTCTTGGCCCACCAAGCACTTGACAGGTGCTGGGTCGGCCTCCGGAGCCTTTGATGCCAACGACGGTGCGGGGCAGAGCGTGGGTGCCTGGCTGGGCATGGTGGAGCCTGGGCATGGTGGATCATCACCTGAGTCATAGCCCAGGCACTCCATGAACTGGAAGATTTACCATTGACTCGAATTTCAACCACTCCAATGTATGCTAAAATATGCCATACCTGGAGTGTTTCAGTAGCCAGCCTCAGCTCTAATGAAGTGTTTTTGACTTTGTGATATAGGCATATAGATCTATCAGAAAGAAAACACCTTTTGGCGTGATCGCTACTCTGGCAGACTTCGACCGTGCTTTCTTGGCGGTGCGACCTGCCGCCCACGGTTTTCTTAGTCGCGACCTGCAGCCGTTGTACCGTAACTGTAGGTGGAGAAGATCCAGCACCATCCAAGGTGGTTTATAGGATTCTATGATGCCAATGTGACCATGTGCTTCCCATGTGCTTCCCATGCGCATGCAACAAACATCCTGCGGGTGGTGCTCGATTATGCTCCGCACTGTGTTGCCGATGTTGAATTGAATTCTGGGATGGTTCCCCCCGAAAAAGCAACCATGATGGCTGGAGTTGATCTGAAATGACTTTTGGAGCGTTGATCACCCGTAGGGACTCAGATCTAACATGATTTGAACATGCATCATCCTGCAAAGTATCAAGATCCCCCACCCAACTGGTGGAGCACCTGACCCTTGCGGGAGAAAGACACCAAGATTCGCAGACCGTACATCAACCAATCAAAACCCTCTGAATGTAGACTCTTGATTAATCAATCCCCACGATGTGGATTGAACAACCTCATAAGAATTCATTTGGGTGGGGGGTAGATGTATTTTTTTGGAACCCATAATTCAAGAGCCTACATGAGTTTCAGTCCATCCACCCCGCTCCTTTTTGGAGCTCTAGGCCTTGAATATCAGCTCCAGTACGTGTTCGGGGGCTCCAGCTGACGGTTCTGCTTTCTGATCGACGCGAGTCGCGAGTCGGAGCTGAAGATGAGCCCATCGCCACATCCACCGACCGAGTAGTTCTCTCCTTCCATTGGCTCACAGATGATTCGATTCGTAGCATTGGTGTGGAGTACGTGTTCTTCTTGCAACTTGAACGGTCCGACTTTTTCAACTTGAAGGGTTTGTCTTAGTAAGCCACACTGACACGAGGCCAGGCCATTCCAAAGTTGATTGATGTTCTTTGCCGGGTGTGGTGGCATTCAGTTTCTGCGTATACATAGCCAAGACAAGCGCACCGTCGAGGAATTCTTTCTTCTTTCCCTTCTTACCAGACAGGTGCCTGAACAGTAGAGTATGGGGTGAATCCCCTTCTGGGGAACCTTTTGTCTGTTTGTCCAGGTTCCTTAGTATAGGAAGAGTTCTCACCATGGAGTTGCAATGAACCGTGAACTGACCGTGCAGAACGAGGCCGTTGTCAACGGTGCGCAACGCCTTCTTGGAAGATCTCCGCTTCTTACGATCCGTGGGGTGGCCCCTTGGCAGAAGCAGACCCATTCTGCCGGATCGAATCTCACCGGCTACAGCCTAGACACTCCAATGTAGATATGCCTACATGAGTGTCTACATGGAACCCTGAAACCACCCCAACTGATCAGCAAATGTATGCAAATATGCCGGTCCCAGTGCCAGTCTTTGGGCGGTCATTCCTTGTGTTGGACGAGCACATCATAAGTCCGCTTCGAGGTGCTGCTCTTGAGGGAACGGGTTTAGGAAGCCGCTTTTGAGGGCCGGGTGGCCATGAATGGAGCTGAAGGTTTTTCTGGCGGAGTGCCAGACTTGGTCGGCGAGGTGTTACTTGAATTTGATGATGACTCGATGACTGTCCCAGACACGACTCATGGGACTGCCATAGGACTGCCAATCAGTCAGGATGGTTGACTGGGGGTCTTTCTGGGGCGGCAGTCCTGTGGCAGCCCCATGTAAACATGTGGTAACTTCCAATTCGACGCATCATCTCTGCATCATGGACCCGCATGTGTCGATCCGGAGGTCGATCCGGAAAGCTGGGGCTGCCCCTCAAATTATGGTTTGGGAATACCTGTATCTATTTGGGTTTGGGCAGCCATCCCCAAACCAAACAACAACTTTTGCAGCCTTTTTGGCTTTCAGCAAGCCATGTCTTCAAACCTTTGAGAAGGGGTTCACCTTTGGGAAAGGGTGTGTAAAGCAAATTGGAATAAAGAACCTTTGAGAAAAGGACTGTGAAAAATGAGAAGCAACCTTTGGGAAAGGTTTTTGTACAGAACATACTGAGACACTTGCATGTGTCAAAAACATGTGCTGCCTGTGTGGGGAAGGTGGGTGGGTGTGAGGGTCTTTCTGTAAAGCAATAACCTTTGTAAATGGTTTTGTTTATGTGTTCTGTTGGGGTATGTGTAGGTTGTTCCTGTTTTATGTTGGGTATGGGTATGTGTAGGTTGTTACTGAATGTGTAGGTGTGTTGGTATGTGTTGTGGTCACTTGTTTTTGAAAACATGAGAAGGCATGTTCCTGCTGCAGCCCTTTTGTGAACTCAAACATTTTAGAGACTGTGTGTTGTCATACCCTTGACAGAAGGGGGCATCTACAGCCCCTTGTGAAAGGGATGAACCACATCAGCTTTGGCATGGATGATGCTGAAGAGAAGTGGTGGCCCAACAAGCCACTGGACAAGTACAGCCCTGCATGGATGTGGAAACTGCAGAGGCAACACCTTGCAAAAGGTGAGAACAGGAACAAGGCAGGGAAGAAGAAGGGGTCTGGGACCACTTCCCAGGCCAGAAGGCTGGCTCGGCAGAACAAGCAGCCTCAAGGAGGTTGTAGAGATGGAGGAGGAAATGATGGAGATGATGGTGGGGACCCTTGGGAAAGGGATTGGTACTGGAACAACTCTTGGGAAAGAGATTGGGGCAGGTGGGGCAGTCACACCTGGGCCAGCTGGAACAACTGGGATGACTGGGAAGATGACTGGCACAGGAGCCCCAGACAAAGCCCCAGGAAAAGGAGTCACAGCAGGAGGAAGAGGAGGCAGAGCAGAAGCAGCCACAGCAGTGCCTCACCTTTGAGAAAGTGGCAGCAGGGCCAGCAGCAGGGGCAGCAGGAGCTGGTCCAGGGAGAGGTCCTTCAGCCCGGACTGGAGCAGATCAGCCACACCCACCAGAAAGGTGTGGAGGATCACAGAAAGGCCCATCCCTGAGGCCTGTGATGAGGAAGGGCCACCTTTGCAAAAGGGTGATGTGGGGATGGAGAAGGAAGCACCTTTGGAAAAGGGTATGGATGACAAGGTGGGTGAAGTGGAAATGAAGGAGGAAGAACCTTTGGAGAAGGAGGGAGCACAGGGTGGTGTGGAAATGAAGGAGGAGACACCTTTGGAAAAGGGTGAAGGTGATTTGATGAAAGGCACACCTGGCACACCTTTCCTATTTGGGCATGCACCAGCCCGTGTCTCTCTTCCCCAAGCCAGGTGAAGGCCTCTTTATCAGGCAGGAGGTGGAGGAGAGGAAGAAAATGAAGAAGATCATGGTGGACTACCACAACACCCTGGCCATCAATGACCACATCAGCCAGGAAAGTTCTGATGCCTTGGAGTCACTCTTGGAAAAGGGTCATGAAGTGATCATTTGCACCTGGTGGGGTTGCCAGGGTGAGGCACCACCTTGAGCAGATGCCTTGGTGGGGGAAGGTGGCCTTCATGGCAACCCACATCAGGAGAGGTGCTGGTTCCAAGGCAAGCCTGTGCAACTCACATGGCTGCTCCATCATGTTTGATGATGCTGCAGACATCTTGCAGGAGGCTGCCAGCAAGGGCATCCAGGTGTACCCCATCAGGAAGGCCAGGCATTGGCACTGGTGGGCTGACAAGGCTGGTATTCCACAATTCAAGACATTTGTGGATGCTGTGGCTTGCTTCCACAAGAATGAGGAAGCACACCTTTGAGAAAGGGTACAGCCCAACCTTGGGAAAGGGTGCCTTGAGAAATCCCTGAGCCTTGACCTTTGAGAAAGGGTGCAGCCCACCCTTGGGAAAGGGCCTTGGAAAACCAGCACCTAACCTTTGAGAAAGGGTATGGAAAACAACCAAACCTTTGAGAAAAGGTGTACAGTAATTCAACTCTTTGGAACCTTTGAGAAAGGGTTTGCATGTTTTTGGCCACAAGGTGCTGGAGAAGTTCAGCATAGGAAAAAAGAGCCTGGTGCATGTGATGTTTACACTATGTTTTTGGTCCAAAATTGTGAGCCTGGTGCATTTGATGTTTACACTGTTTTTGGTCCAAAATTGTGTGTATATATTGATTTGTATATTGATTTCTGTATTGATTTTGAACTCCAAAAACATTGTTTTTTATATTGAAAAATTTTTCAATATTTTCAATCTGTGAGAATTGATTTTGAAGACTCAAAATCAATATTTTCAATAGACTGATTAGAATCAATCTTCGATGCTCAGGATTGGGGTGGATAGCTGCACTGCAGTTTGGTGGCCGGCAAAACTGAAGGGGTTTAAGATGGTTTAAGGGAACATCTACGGGAAACCATGGTTTTCACCCCGCGAAAACATGTTTTATGTTTTATCCAAATTTGCCGTTTCAGCCGAGCCATGCAGCCGTTGAGAAAAGTAGACCCTTGTGGCCGCTCAAGCTCTCTTGGAAGGGGCGGACCAATGCAGTCGGGGCAATCCAAAATCAAAATCAGCAGATCTTGGGACAAGATCTGAACGCGATTTCCACAAGACATGTTCAGCAAAGCTGAGCGATGGCGCCTCACGAGCCCAGGCCCTTCTTCGCCTGGGCCTGCGGCATACAGTCCCGTATTCACAACGCGGCGAGCTCCTGCATTTTCTTGCGGGCCATCGCAGCAAAGACACAAGACTAAGCAAGCAGGAGGAGAGGCCGACATCCAGGAAAGAACTGCCAAAGATATCGCTATCGCAACTGGAGGTTGTCAAACAAGTGGGGGTAGGAGGGTTAGCCAAAGTCTTCTGTGCATCTTGGAAGGGCTCAGAGGTGGCTGCAAAGCTCCGCTATCAGAAAGACTGCTTATAGAGCCTGGACTTGAAGACAAAGATAGAGAGGGTCTCCGAGCAGAAGCGCAGTTGTTGTACAGCCTCCAACAGGCTGGTGGGTGCCAATGGGTAAAGAAAGCCATTGGCATAACTTGTGATGAAGATGTCGTTTGCGGGATTCTGCTGGAGCTGCTGGCAGACAACTTGCGGGCGCGGTCCCTCTGCGCCGACTTCACCCCGGCAGAGTTGCTCAATGCTTTTGCCGACGCCTGCAAGGCAAGTCGATTTCTCCACCAGCATCTCGTATCGCACAATGATATCAAGCCCAGCAACTTGGCGAAATCAAAAGTTGGAGAAAGTTTCAAGGTGATTGACTTTGATGCAGCACGACAGTTGAAGGACTGGAACCAAAGGTGTTCGCAGTTTGCAGGAACATTGTTCTTTGCGTCGCCCGAGTGCTTGCCGCTGCAAAACGATTGCCACACCCTTGGCCTCAGCTTCGCGGATGAACTGGCGACTGATGATCGGCTGGGCCGTGACAAAGTTGCAGGTATGTTGGACTTAAGTTTATGCAGTTGCGCCAAACATCAGTGCCGGCAACCCTGGTTGCCTTGTGGAGGTAACGTGCCGAGTCATCAGGTCCAAGCTAAAGGCCGGGGTGTCGGTGAAAAGGGGTAGAGCGGTTCGTGTTCAGTTTTTTGAGTTTGGGCAACAGCCACGTGCCATCAGTCCACCGTGGGCGGGCACGTTGTGAGCCTTGTTTGTGGTTTGGATTTCGGGCTGGTATTAGAAAGGTGGCAGTGTAGTCAGATGTTTTCTTATTCGAAATGCTTTGCATTTCGCAGGATAAGAAACATGCCCAAGGTGATGGTTTGCTTTCGTGGCTTGGGCAAAAGGAAAAACTGTGTGTTTTGTGTTTATTTATGATGGGTGCTTTGAAAACGTCGCGTCTTTACGATGTTAGAAGTGATTTTATGCATGAAAGATGTGGAAGCGCGTCTCTGTCCCCAAGGTTGCTCCATGAAGATCCGGCGCCCATGGCCCAAAGTCCAGGTCCGCAGGTGAAGGGCTACACCTGAAGTTGCATTAGCCAGTGGGGCGCTTAGAAATTCATGAAACCCTGCTCAATACCATGAACCTCGAACATGAATGTTCTTGAATCCCAGATTCTTGAAGGAGGCTGAGATTGGAAGGCCAATAGGTAGACGGTATTTGCAAGGCAATTTTCACGGCTGCAGCTAGAGCTGAAGATGAAACAAGTGAACCGAAGACCTGCCGTAGTGAGAGACTGTACGGTTGGGTGCTTTGGCTGGGCACCAACACCAAACCCAAGTTGGCAGCCACTTTCTTTGTAGGTGTTGTGTTGCTGTTGCTGCTGTCAAGACCTCTTTTTTTCGTAGTCCTAGCTAAGAGTGTGAAGTCGGCATCCGACTTTTGCTTCGCGGGTCTGTAGGGTTGTTGACAATTTTGTTGGATGCTATTTTGGAGGAAGCCGCCGCTGGGCTAGACAGTAGCTAACTGGCTGCGCCCAGCACTTAAGCTGGTACTAGGCTGCGCTGGGGACTTTGGGAAGTTTGGGACTGTTGGAGGCAGAGAATTGGCATTGCGATCAGGTTTCAGAGAACTGGCATTGCTCCGTGCGTATCACCCTTGGCCATTGAGGCCAGCAACACTTTGAGGTGCGCCCCACAAGAAAAGCAGGGCGCAGCAGCTGCCAACACATCAAAAAACTATTGATTTCTTGCGGATGTCCCCCCTATCCAACCCATTTTCCCCTCAACGGCATTTCCAAAGAGTTGGGGTCCTGTCGGTCCTGGGCGGCGAAGTGTAACTACCAGCGCCCCCACCAGCACCTTCAAAGGGGCCTCCTGGCTGGAATGCCCTACACTACTTGTCGATCTAAGTTGGGCACCCCTTTGAAGGTCTAGGTATCAAATACAGTACAACAGGGAAGCAGGGAATGGGATTGGATTTTTCCAATCAAGTTTCTCCAAAACGCAAGAAGATCGAGAATCGAGGAGATCTTGGAGACACACAAAACAAGAGACTTGCGCTGTGCCCTAGGCCTCCTGGCCCACCTCCTGAGAAGATGGGACTGGGGTGGGTGGCAGGGGGGTCGAATACCACCGAACCTGAGGATATGGGCCAGGAACCCTAGGGGTGAAAGGTTAGACTGCGCGTGTTTCGTATCGAAGGGCGTTTTTTGGATCGAAGGGCTTTCACCATTCCGAAGTCGTCTGTAGACATGGTTCGATTGCGTCGCAGACTGCACGCACTTTCTGAGGCTTTCCTCGTCCCAGACGAGGGCGTTGCACGTGAGTTTCGTGGCCTACAACGCGAACTACCTCACATGGATTTGGAGCAGGTGCCAACTCCGCAGAATGGAGAGGGCCAAAATAGCATCGTCCTCCTTCTTGTGAATAAGGTTTGGGTGGGTGGGGCAGTTGGATGTGCAGCTCGTGACGTGTTGATCGGATGTTTCACTTGGAAGTGTCGGACTGCATCAGTTCATCAGGCTCTTGCAACCCCCTGTTGACTATCAGCGATATGTTGGGGGGAAGAACGGCCGTGCAAAACAGTGGCTTTGCAAAAAACTCCTGCCCAGTGTGCATGGCGGCTCATTTCCCGAACAGAGGGCCGTTTTTTCCTGAATCTGAGAGCGTCTTCAGAAAGACCATTCAACCAAAGGTTGACCTGATGTTGTCGTCCCCACCATCCGTCAAGAACATGGACGTCTGGATTTGTCTGGTCAGAAAGCATTGAATCAATGGTGGGCCACCCACAAAACAGGGCATCAGAGAATCTCCAGTGACCTGCGACATCGAGGGAGAGATCCTGCACCTGCGACGCTCGCGCCAGGTATAGTTTCGACCTGAGCGCTTTTGGGACGGTCCACCCTTTGCAGCACGTGGTGCCTTTTAGGCTCGCAGCGAAAAGCGGCGCGGGTGGACGCGCGCGGGTGGATGCCCGGGACAGGACGTCGCCCTGGACCGTGTGGACCGCGTTCCGGGGGGAGTGCGAGGGTCTGGGTCGTTAGCGGGCCAGCAGTTGGGCATATCAATCCCATCACCAGGGCCCAATGGATGATGGTTAGCAAAGGCAAAAAAGAGTTACCATTTGGCCGATCTGTCGCTGGCGGCTACACGGCTACACTGTAACACCTGTTGGTCGCCCACATGACAAAATAGGGAAAGAACAGCGCATGACAGCGGTGAATAATCCCTTTTCATCTACCCTAAAGGGTGTCTTATTATTCTAACCCCTTTACATGTTAAGGGTGTCCAAAGTGGACATCCATTCACCGCCCCCTTCTTGGACTTTCATCTCCACATCACGCCAGTACATCCAGTACTACCCATCCACGGACGGAGTAGACACGTTGCATTCCTCGGATCAAACCCAACCGCTCGGGGAGAGCCGAGTCGAACGTGCCAGGCCGCATTTGGCCGAGTATGGTTTGGACGGTGAGTTGGTGGTCTCTGACTGGGCGAGGCCGCTGAAAGCTTTGCGAGTTCGGGGCAGAAAGGGCTGGATGGATCGGTCGGCCGAGAGGGTGGCAGAAACGCTGTTCAAGGATAGGTGGTCTTATTGTTCTGCGCGTGACACGGGCTTTTTGGGCCGAGATGGTTGGGGGTGATGGTGGTGATGGTGATGGTTGACCTGAGGTCCCTTCGGTTTGTGAATGCACCCCATGGGATACGAGATGAGAGATGGAACCACTGTCACTAGTGCCCGAAGCGAACGAACGATGATGTGCACATGTGTCATCGTGCACCCGCTGCGTGTGTGGAGGTCTTGCTTGCTGCTGTTCATCTTCTTTGAGGCTTAGTAAACCCGAACTTGCCGGACTGAGCGCCTTCTTTGTTCCTCCTCTCTCGATGATGTACCAGATGTACATTCCAAATCATTCCATCATCAGTTGGAAAAACATAAAACAAATTGAAAAACAACATTGCAGTGGCTTCAAGAAGTGGATGGCACCCAAACGATGGTTTTAAATGGTTCTTAAGACCAGGACACCCGGGCCAGGGGTGTCTATGTTGATAGCCCCTGTTCGAAGTGATTCGGGATGTCCATTAACCACCCCGAGCGCGTGGGTCCTAGTATAGGGCTCCATAGGCCGGCCGCCCCACTTGGGGGCCCGGACGCACTATAAGAACCTCTGAAAACCACCGGACCCGAAGCATCATGCGGGGCATGAATGCCGGCAACCCACCCGGTGGAAAGCATCGAAGATTCGGTCGATGATTGCTGTGAGATTCTTGGTTTGCTTGGCTGGGTGTTCATGACTGCGTTTTTTCTCCAATAAATGCTTGTTGAAGGCATTGCCATATGATATCTCGCTGTATGTTGGTTCCTGCCGCTTTGTGACCAGGCTTATGCTAAGATCCTATTAGCCTGTGACACACGATAGCAAAATGAAGTGGGGAGCGGAACATGGCAGACATTGGCAAACGAAGTCCCTCACTACGTGTGTGTCCTTTGGCATCGGTAAGCTGGAGAGGCCACAGAGGGAGATGCACTCGGGCCTCAACGGGCCATGCGTTCCTGGAATTCACCGATGTTCACCTGGACACCCATGCACCTTGTTCACCTTGCTCATTGTTCTCAATTCACCTTGTTCACTTGGCTTTGGGAATTCCAAGGCCAATTCCGCCTACGTGTTCCAACGGGTTAGGAGGGCATTTGCAGCTCCATGAGCAGCCCCAGACGAACCCCATCCCGCCTCTTACGTTCATCATGGCTATATGGACAAGTGTGATCTCTGTAGCACCTCCTGCAAACATATGCCACTCTTTTTTAAAATTTTGGCTCTCAGATGGTTCTCATCTCACGCACCTTGAGAATCATAGAAATCGCACCTCTACCTTGTCACTGTCATAGCCTTCAAACACTGCGAGAAAAAAGGCGGACCTGGTCTTGTAGTCTAAAAGAACTCAGTAAAACAATAAAAGACACTTTAGACTACAAGACCCTTTACTGAGTTCGGAAAAAGGGTTCTGAGTTCAACTTGCTTGTTCGGAAAAATCGGCCCTTTAAGTCAATTCCTGGGTGCTTCGATCATCTACAATTACTAGACCCTATATGACCCTATAGTAATTATAGGGCATCACTGGGTCAATGATAGCTCCAGGCTCGGCTGGGCGCGGCTCGGCAGAACAACCACCGAGACGGTGTTAGTCCCGAGAACACCCGGCCCAGCCGACGATCCGGACCGTGGCCAGGTCTACCGAGATGCACGGCACGCGCAGAAGGATCAAGGCGATGCCTGGAAGCGCTGGAAGCACTTCCGGGGCCTCCAGGCGCCTGAGACGACCCTGGGAGATGGTTCCTCCGGGCCGGAGAGGACTGGGAGGGTGGATGAAAAACGTGTTGACAGGTGGCCTTCAGACCTTGAGATGCGGATAGCGGGAGGGTTCTTAGTTCTCCGAAGAGTTGGAGGGTCGACCTTGCAGTCTTTGCTTGCCGTCTCCCCGACGGATGGGATTGAAGGAGCCTCAATAAGATCCGGCGGTGATGGTTGCTTCGCCGGTGGCCTCGGAGTGGTTTACAGTGGTTTCAAGAGAAGTACTCTCCCTGGAACTAACATGGAAGTGGAAACCAGTTTGTAGTGGAAAATTGTCTTCCAAGGGGCCTTTCTCCACTTCCATGTTAGTTCCAGGGAGTGTAGATGGCACGTTTCCCCCACAAGACGTCTATTTTTAGATAGGGGTCCACATAAACAATCATAAACCACCTCACGCCTGGGGGCCCCCATCGTGCCATCTCTACTCTTGAGCCCACTGTAGTAAGAGGGGTCCTGGACGTTGGATCGAGCAAGGACCATCACCTACCATCTTCCAGAGCGAGCACGGACACAATTCTGCAGAGAAGACCGTGAATGGGGCTTTGAATTGGGGCCCTTTTGGAAGATTCAACAGTTCCAGAATTCTACTGATTCAGTATGATTTAAAGGTCTTCAGTTGCTCATATGTTCAAACTTATTTTGCATGTAATGTCAGGTACCCCTTGGAGCTTCCATTGGGGGGTGAGAGGCGTGAGTTTGGGGTGTGGAGGTGCTAATGGATCTGAGCCTCACAGTGATCTTCCTGGTGTCCTTGGGCTACCGGATCAGCTACTATACCAGCGCCACACGGCTCAATTGGTCGAGCTGGCCCGGGCCAGCCTGGAGAGCTTTCGGCGATGTACAGCGACCGGTTACATGAGTTTGTATTTAAGCGTGTGCACCCCTCGCAGACGATTCCCGGACTCTGAGAAGGAATTCGGTGTCAACCCGACCACCATCTTCGACCGACCGACCGGTTTGGCGGGTCCATTGCGGTCGGAGGGGGTGTTCTTTTGAGGAGACGGGAGGAAGGTCTTGTGAAAGTTCTTGCTCCAAGCTGGGCCACCCAACATTCCAGTCCACATGCGTGACCCGACTCGGATCTTTTTCGTGACCCGACTCACTCACAGGGGGAACGGAACGCCTTTGGGAAGACGATGTTCCTCTACACACAGGGTGGAAGTTCCACTTCCATGTGATGTGTTCGTCGGAGTGGAGTGGAGGATAACCAGCTAGCATCGCAGCCACGATGACAGACATCAGAGGACATCACAAGACCATACAGCACACAAACCAAGAGAGGTACCAACAGAGGTTGAAGGACCCTATAGACTATCCCATAGGTACCCCAGTAGGGTCCTTTTAGGTCACTTAACCTCTCTTGGTAGCCAGTGACCGTAAATAGAACCATTCCGGGGTACCAGACTGGAATAGTCGACTAAGGGTCCTTCAACCTTTGTTGGGAGTCTTGACTTGCACTACGTAGACTATACATGGTGTGACAGGGGTCGACAACTAATTCCACAGGCTCGACCACCAATTCTTGCACAGCCACGATGTAAGATGTACTGTATAGCTAGGAAGAGGGAGGCACGTTGGAATGACCAGTGACCACGGGCTCCAATGATGTTCTACTTGTTTCATCCATGGTTTCTTCCATTCTTCTTCCCTAGGAGCCCTCGGTGAGCTATGCCGTCTCGCACGTGTACAACTTCCGCGACGCGCCTCGGAGACCATTCGTTCCGGAAGCGCCCGTCCAAACGCCGTCGCCGTCGCACTCACAGGATCCGAATGAAGGAATGCAATTGGTCGGTCAAGTGAATGCTGGCTGAGACATTGGTATACTGTACCATAGACAGAAGTACGGATTTCTGGGCCAACCAGATTCTGTATCCAGCAATCTCACTCATCTACAGCACTGCTGTCAGCTCAGCTGCGCACCTCGCACGAACTCATGCAAACCCATCGGACCTTACAGCTGTCGTCAGAGTCCGAAAAGGTGTGTTTCACCACACTCCGACCAGTTGGGATTCTCAGATTGAAGGGCTTGGGATGTGATTCTTCCCAAGTCCTCCAAACATCTTTGCTGATGAGTGGCCAGGCTGGGCAAGTGGCAGAGAGCTACGGCGTGCAAGTCTGCTTGGAAGCAGTCTTGCTGGCCGGGGGGCCTAGCACGGTGTTTGAGAGCCCTCGGGCTATTGGCCTGATACCCAACACGAACTCCTCAAGGGAGGTAGGCCAGTGCCTAGTAGAACAGACTTGTTTACCTTGTGTTTGAGCCGCCTGAGTTCGGAGGGAAAGGGGGAACTTTCTGCAGCACCTGGAAGCAAGCAAGTTTGCTCATCTCCCTTGGTAGTAAAGGTGGCTTACGGCATTCCAAAAGTGTGCCTTTAACCATGGTGTTTCTCTATGGGGCGGGCCCATTGCCAGTTGAAGAAGACATTTAAGAGCTATAAGAGTAGCTATAAGTTATGTTCTGTTGTATTCATTTATCCGTCATTTGTCACCCCCTTCCGGAAGCTTTCGCCACACCTCGCCCTACAGTATCTCAAACTGAGGATTCAGTTGGCCCTTTTTTTTAGGGGCTTTGAAGGCGACCCGCGGCCTTAGGCAAAAACCATTTGGGACTCCCGGTTTTTCCACGCTTCAACACGTGCAGTCGGCCCAGCACTTGAACGTGGCCACCTGCTTGTATCTTCAGGCGCTTTGCTTGTATCGCTTCGTCTACTTCCTCCGTGTGAGCCGACATGCGACTTGGTGGCCGAAGAAGGGGCCTCGGCTCGTGGTGGGACCTCGGTGGCCTGGCAAAAAGATGGAAACGACACCATGTGACATACCAACAGAGGTTGAAGATGTTGAAGGACCCTACAGACTATCCCAGTTCGGTACGGTGACGGGTCCGAGTTCAGATCATTTCACCTCCACCGGTGGCACCGTCCATTTCTTCGACCATGAACGGCGGTTCCTCCCGCGCCATGGGCCTTCGCCACCCCATGGGCGCCCAAGAACGGGTGGACGGTTCCGGTGACCATTGGGAGATTCCATACCCCAACATGACCCCTAGGGCTCCAACCATCTCCTCAGAAGGTGGTTAGACCCCCCAAACCCACCCCAACCATCTTCTCAGGAGGTGGTTGGAGCCCTAGGGGACCTGCATGTCTGGGACTGCCAGGACGGACTACCCGCCCCCAGAGGTCGAACCCCCGATCAGCGCCCCAACTGATCGGCCAATATGGTAGTCCCATGAGTCGTGTCTGGGCATGGGAGATGGTCCATCTTCGATCGGGAGCCAGCAAGCCGGCAGCAATCATGGAAGTGTCAAACCACGGAAAAATTCTGGGCCGTGGGAAAAACATACTATAGGGCACGAATCGAAGGGGGCCATTCATGGCCATCCACTGATGATTTTCAGGGTTTGCATACATCTTTGAGTCTCCGAATTTCTGGAGAAATCCATTCGTCCCTAGTTCGGCCTCCAGTCGTACCCAACCTGAGGTTCGGTGCGACTGTGGTGGGTGGGTGCCAGGAGGGTCCTACCTGAGGAGGTACGACTGGATCCCTAGGGAGAAGCTTCAGAATAGGATCGAAGCCAAAAGTCGATAAACGTTGCGAATGTCCGAGAGTGAAGCTTCAGGTTTCGCAGTGAGACCCAATCCCTATTTAACCGGTGCGGTGCCCGCTAAGGACGAATCTTGTCTAAAGACGTCGCCCGCGCTTCCGATTCCTTGCAATTCAGCTAGATGCCTTACTAAGTCGTCCATTTAAGTCCCTTTCAACTGCACTGGGTCCATGGGAGAACATCCTCAAACGTCGCAGGTCTTCCTCATTTGGCGCTCGGTGGCCCGCAGCGCGTACCGCCTCGCAAGGTGCCCCGGCGCCCTGGGGGCCAGAACGGACACGTTTCTGCGGCTTTCAGTTCTTCTGCCTTGGGCCAGGGTCATGACCCAAGTAGGCTCGCCGCCCCCCCACAACGTTGGCCCTGTTCTTTGGGTCTATGGCATGCGTTTTTGGGATGGTGTTTCTTTTCCTTTTTTGTTGGTATGCGTTTTTACCCAAAGGTAAGCAGCTCATCAAGGTGGAACAAGACTTCAAAAGTTAGAGCTCTTGGCAAAATCCATATGGTGACTTTCTGCAGCCGAAGTCTTCCAGGATTTCCTTGGTCCTGCTCTTGCTTTGGCTGGGCTTTGTCGTCCTAAGCCTGTCTGTGGGCAGCCGCTTTCACAACTGCAACAGGAGCGAGTTTGGCTGCAACGGAACGCACGGATCAGCGGCTTTGTGGGCTTGAGTCTGCAAAGGCTCAGGAGTGTGTAGGAGGAGTGCGGTAGTTCTTTGCAGCCTTTTAGGCTTTTCATGTTCTTACGCTAGAAGAAGAACTGAAGACTGGGGTAAGCTGAAGATAGCTGAAGGCTTAGGGTCAAACAATCCTCCACGCCCTTAGCAACCTCGGTGTGCTGAATCAGCGATGGAGGGGTCTCTGTGAAGTTCCCCTTTCATGTCCCCTTCACCTGGCCTCATTCGGGTACAGTATGTAAACACCCCCTCTTCCAGAGGGGAAATAGACCAAAGCCCATTGGTTGCAGGCAAAACTGCAGGTCTCCCTCTAAGAATGCACACGCATTGCAAGGACTTTGGGCTTCACGATGAGCTGCTCTCTCTTGATGATGTCTGGCGATGTGCGTGTGGCACAGTTGGAGCCTGGGGAGCGGGAAAACTCAGTGGAACAGTACGTGATCAGTCGGGCAGGGCGATGAAGGCGCTTGGAGGAAGGCCTCGACCTGGTGTATTTTGGATCGGGTGCTGGTGACTTTGTCGATTTTTTCGGTTCCTGGCCAGTAAAAACTCCAAGAAAGGGATCACCCTGGGAAGGCGTGTCAACGTGGGAAAGCTTGGGGGCTTCCGCGTGGGGGCGGGCGTCCGCGTCGCAAGCTTGGACGCTTCAAACATGTTGAATTAACATGGTGAAACTAAACGCCTTTCCACAGCACGAACCCGGACAACGAAAGCAGGAGTGGCAATGAGCCGGTGCGCTGTCGACAGCGGTTCACCGTGGTGTTGGATCTGAGTGCGGGACCGTCTTGCCCTGCGCTCGCAACCCCAACAGATGGAACCCCCGCCCGCCGAAGTCCGTTTTCACCGGCCACATCGGTCGCCCCGTTTGGAAGTGAAGCGACCGATGTGCCCGGAACCGATCTCTGGTTGATTGATCAATGCGCAACACGTGCCGCGACACCAAGTTATATCGATGTTTGAAGTGAATCCGATGTACAAAGGTCCTTCTGCACCCATTCCTAACCATGAACCCATTCCTAACCCTGAACCCATTCCTTATGAACCACTCCTGAACCCATTCCTAACCGCCTCCGGATCTGGAACACGTGCGCCAGAGAGGTCCTTCCGCGTGGTCTCCGTGCTTCTGCTCTTTTGCTTTGGGAAGCCGGGACTCCGCTTGAAACGCGCACGCGCACGGCGGGATGGCCGGTCCAGTTTTGTGGCGCTTGAAACGCGCCACATGAAGCGCATGGGACTTGCAATGTTCCAAAATGGTCCCCCCCCAAGCCCTGCGGACTTTGGGATTGGTGAGATGAAAGTCATGGGAATTCAGAAGCTTTCATAATATGTTTTCATGTGCATTCTGCCCTTTGGGATGGGAGAGGGATGTTTGAAGCATCCTTGACTTTGAGGATGGGACAGGGACCAGCATAGCATGTTTGATTGATCCGTAGCAGCCCCTTTTGCAGCTTGCAGGCTGGTCCTTGCCAACGTGTGGCTCGCCATGCTGATGCAGGAGTTGGGGAGCTCAGATGCACTACGAGCTCGTTGAGGCGAGTGCACCCACCAGCGGCATCAACCGGTTCCAAGATTGGGTCGGCGGGGTGGTTTTGTTCTGACTATTGACTATGTGCTGCATCTTCAGATGAAACAGCAGACTCAAACATCAAGTTTATTCAACTTTGCTTGGCGTTTGGGGGAGGCAATTGTCAAAGGCAAACGGAAGGGCAGTGCACAGAAAGGGTTTTGCAAAAACCGATTCTACTAACGTCGTGGAAGGCGCGTGACCTTCGTAGAACCCAAGGCTGTTCGTGGACAGTTCGTGGAATGGTGGGCCAGTAGGAGAACTGACTGCAACGAAATCCCAGAAACCTTCGCAGAACTTCGTGGAAGGTATTTTTGATGCACTAACTTCGTATAAGCGATTTTTGCTGACCCCCTTTCTCCACACACCCTCCGTTTAGCCTTCAAATTGGCATTATCACCCAGAGGGAACTGGAATGCTAGAATGGTGTGTAGACTAGTGTAGACCAAACAACGGTCATGTTTGCAGCGTACATCGGAGTTCTTGGTTTTTTCCGTTTTTGTTCACTTCCTTGCTTTGAGTTGTCGTTTGAACGTGGAGCGCATTTGATCAGATGGCCGTTCGTGGGACCATCGATATCCGACCGAGCGCTGTAATCGACCTTTCGTCGCAAGCGACGGCCGTTCTTATTCTTGGTTTAATCATTAAGTACCTTGAGGGTCCAAATACCTTCTGAGGTACTTGGAGGTGTAGGGTCAACAATTGGGCCCTTGCCTTGCCAACGTTCACCCGCACTAGAGTGCTTCGCCGGCAGTCGTCATTGTCACCTGTCGACTGTCGGGTTTTGTCCGTCGACTTCTACGGAGTGGAGTCGGGCAGCGTAGATGCTTGGGAGGAGGTTTTGCGGCAATGACTGTGGATGGTTCTAGACTGATCTAAACCCCAAGTTTCAACTTTCAACACGTTTTGATGTTTAACACAATCAAAGTTTGACACTCCCAAATAAAAGAAAAAGACACATTGCAACAGCTGCAGGACTACATGTAAATCGTTGTACAAGCCAGGTGATGCCAGGTGACTGTGAACGCGCAAAAGCACACGCGTGGCTTTGTGATATGGGTCAAAGTGAAATTTGGTCGTTCACACCCAGTGAGTGGATTCCTGGGGCAGGTGCCACTTCTCCCGTCCAAAAAGACACCACCAGGAGTCACGTTCGACGGGGTGGTGTGGCTCGTCCCAGCCAGTGAGTGGATGTGTTAGTCGGGCACCCCGACTACCTCCAATAAAAACCCCTTGGTGACTGCTGGAAGTCATAGGTTCTATTGGGCCCAACCATCCCCAACCTCTTCCGCCCGGCATGGTGGGACCTTTCCCCGTGCCGCCCATCTTGAGGGACGGAATGGGCTCCAAGACGCGAACCATGTGGTTCTGAACCAGTCATAGAACCTCCCCTTATAAACGACATGACAACACACCCCGCAGAGATGGTGCTTGTTGAGAGTCAGGCGTTCTTGCGTGGCATTAAGGTGTTTGTAGATTCGGATGCGCACCCTTTGACACCGCTGAGTCAGCTAGCTGTGGCCTCAACATCTCATGTGCTTGCAGATGACCTGAGGTATCACACAGCGCGGGTGGAAGCAGGCTCCTCCTCGGCCTACAAGTGGCGGGACCGGCCACTGCAGTGGATGCATGCTGGGACAAAGTGGGAAGCTCAAATCATTCGAAGATTCACCGTGAGTCTGTAAGACTTGCGTTGCCATACGTTGCCACTATCCGTTTGTATAAATCCATGTATTGTGAGATTCGTATTTAGTGAGGCCCCCCCGCGCCATGTTATATATATATATATTTATTTTTTTTTAAAAAAAAGGTTTTTCGAAGGTACCCGTCCCCGTTATTTTAATCCTTTGGAGTTCGTTTGCTTTAATTATTTGGGTCAATTATATTTTTGGGCGTTTTGGCAGCCATTGTGGATTTGGACTGGGAATTTTGCCTATATGGATCATTTTGGACGAATTCTAAATCAAATTAATTCAAATTATATATATATAGATCGGGATTTTCTGGAACAGATTATATAATTAATTATGGCTGACCTGCTATTTAGCATTAGAGAACTATCCGCATCGGCAAACCCACCAGCCAAATCAAGTATTCCATATCCAGAACATCGATGAATCCCGAACTTTGGTACCTTGGATCCGAATATAGTTTGGGCACGATCGGAGTCAAGTGACCTTCCAGTTGGTGACCAGCCAAACCATTGACATAATTGCTCATGCTAAGTCTCATGCTGTATTGCGCGACATTTTGTGTGTCTCAACCATTTCAACCTGCTAATATGATCCACGTGCATAGCTCACAAGTGCAGATATAAGCGTAAACTACCTGGATCTTCCAATGCTCGTTGGCTGGCTTTATCATAGATGAGAAGGCAGACCTTTGGCATCCTTTTGCATAGTTGGAAGGCCTTGGTACATGAGTAGTGGACAGTATACATGTAGCCATGGCGCACCTTTTGTTGCTCTCTCGCACAGTGGCGTTATGTGTTCGGCCGCGATCGCTTCGCAGGAGTATGACTGGGTCCGTCCGGGCCTGAAGGGGGTCGGGGGTGGTGGCGGAGCGTGGCGGTTTTTGGACAAAAGGCTTGCCACCCGTTTGGGCAAGAGTGCCGCCCCTGAGAGGCAACAAGGACCTTCGATGCCATCAGTGAGTCGGATGCTCCATCAGATGCACCTCCTGATGTTCCTCTCATTTTAAGCGTGCAAAGACTCCTAGGAGTCTTGAGATGCCAATGATCTCAGTTGAAACGCAGGACCCTTTCCCACAAATAGAGGACGTGCCCTTTCCAATGATTTTATACCAGTATCGATGGCTTGTCAAATGCAGGATGGCCAGCTTGCAAACTGCAATGTCAATCGGCCCTCGCCAGTGAGGATGGATCCTGTTCTGGTGTGGCTGCCGGATTTCCGACGTCCATCGATGTCCGAAGAGTTCGGACGTCATGGATTTGGGAAGTCGTAGATCATCCAGACTCGACCGGACTGAGTGGTGAGCCGTATGGAGGGGAACCCCCAAATGGACTTAAAGGTCAGACTTTGATCCGTAGCCCATCCGAGGTCCTAGACCAATCAAAATTGAGGAGACCCTAAGATTAATGGATCCTCTAAAGGTGAAGGTTTGCTTCAGGTCCAAACCTGTGCGATTTTCGCAGGGTCCTATGGAGGGTCTGATGATTCTTATGATAGGATTCAAACATTGCAGATAGGTTTCGACACTTTGGGGGGAACCTCCGTGGTACCCCTTGTGGTACCCCTAGTGATCGTGTCCAAGGTGTTGGAAGGCGAACGAGCCCCAAGCTGGCCGATGGTACCGGTTCTGCCAGTACAAAATCCTCAACACCAATGTTTGCATCTAACACCTGTGTAACCAAAGGTGGCACAGAACATGTCTTGCATTTCCTTGGTTTCCTCGGTTTTGCTGCGTTTCTCGAGAGAATTCGGCCAGGCCCTTTGACCGGCTCTACTTGAAGCTTCGCCCGTCCATCACGCGCCTTGGAGTTTTGGTGGAAATTGGGTGAACAGTGGTGCTTGGAAGACCCTGAGTGCTTGGGGTTGGATTTTCCACATGGCAAGCCAGAGCGGACGAGACGCGCACATGAATCTTTGTGAATAGTAGGTCACAGGTGCTGCCAGTTTCACCGTACTTTTTCCATGCACATCCACTTGCACCATCTATACCTTCAGAGAGTTCGTCGTCTCGATATTGCTTCACCTGATCCGTGTGCCCGAGGCCCGTGAAGCCTTTTGAGGGTTGAGGCTCGTCGAGCGTTCTGGAGGTTCTCAATCATGGAGTGGAAGGAGCGGGAAAGAGCAATTCAGAAGGGACAGCAAAGGACAGCGGACATCAGTTCAGCCGAGTCCAGGTTTGGTAGATCTAGTTGCTGGATGTTATTGGTTTGTTTCATGCGTGGGGCGGCTGGTCGCAACCCACCGGCAGGTGCTGAAAGGCAGCGCAAGCCAGTCTGCAGATGTTCGCAAGCTCGAGCATGCCTGGTGAGCTGCACAACAGAGCGAAGGCTTTGCTTGTCAGCGAGTTTGATCCCTGAAGCCAATTCTCACGCCCCTTGTGACAAATCTTTTGTGGGCACAGTGGTGAATGCAGATGCCCAAAGTTATGGTACGGTGATCGGGGTCATGGGACCAGTATGTTGCTACATGCCTGAAACTATTGATCTAGGTCTAGGCAACATATGCCAGATGCGCCTTCATCGTGGCAAGGAGTTTGTATGACACGGCCAGGGCGTCGGATGGTCAGGAAATTAGATTCAGCTTAATGAGATTTTGACGATGGCCTGGCTCTCTTGGCACCTGCCAAAGCAGTGCCTTGAGAACAACCAGCGATCGACACACATCGGTTGCTGGGCTCGTTGCTTGGACGATCCGCATCTGAAGATGTCTGGCCTGAAAGCAAATAACCGCAATCAACCCCAAAAATAGACACAGCAAACTGAGTTCTGCTGAAAAGAGACTTGGACTTGATTCGCTGCTCCAGGTGGTTTGACTCCTATTTGCCCCCATCCTTTGTTTCCCCACCGACCCTGATCGGATCTGCAGCCAACGAGTCCTGCACCGAGTACCTTTTGAGGGCTTGTGACCGGCACAAGCCCGGCCGCGGTGACTCCGCCGAGTGGAGGATACCAGCGGAAGGATGTTAGAGTTGGGCCGTTAGGTGGAGGACAGCGCCTGGGGCTCAGAAGAAAGGCTCAGAAGAAAGGCTCAGAATGTGCTGCTGGGTGCTGGTTTCATTGGGGAGTGGGGAATCCTTGTTCTTGAAGGGGTGGGGAGCTTAGGATCTTCCGGAAATGCGGTCCTATTGTCCGGCAGAACGGCACAGAACTGGTTCGGATGATTTAAATTTTTACCCCTTGGACATTTTTGGACATACACTGCGTGTTGGGCTTTTCTTTAGGATCCTGGTCGCGGTGAGTGGGGAAGGTTCTGCAACGCATCATCCGTCCGCAAGAAGCTGCAACGCGTCATCCGAGTGAAAGCTCCACGGGACAGAGGGACTCAGCCTTGCTGGTTCACGCAAGGTGGGGATTACAGGAGCACAAAGTGGCATGGGTGTGGGTGCGTTGGGGTGTCTAGATTCTTAGGCATAGAGTCTTTCTAAGAGTCTGGTTATCCGACGTGTTTCGTGGGCCAGATGCAGAATAGACTTAAACTCTTGGGCATACATCCCGCAGCGCTTGGCATTTTTTATGGGGCTTTCATTGGCTGACAGTTTCAAGACGTGCGCAGGGCAAGAGTCAGAGGCATGAGGAGTGTTAATACGAGGTTGCGAAGCGTGAACCCTTAACATATGTTGATAAGGCCCTCCGAGGCAGGAGACATATTTATACCCACGACATTACAGATCAAATTCACATGTTTTATCCCAAAGTTTGTATCAATACGGCGTTGTTGTGATACAGGCTTTGCCGATAGTCGTTACAGTTAGCACTTATTGTTGACAAGTTGACACCCTCACCGGAGAGTTGGGGGCAAAACTGAGCAGATGATATTCTATTGCTGCCCTGCCTTTGTTGCAGACTTTTGCTTATTCACATGTTTAGGCACTTACTTTACTTCCTCTTTATATTATGACCACACCGACTGCAGTTTATTTGTGGCTCCAGTGCCATGTGCTAGTTTCGTCATGTTGTTTCAGTGCCCACCTGGAGCTGTTGGAGAATGAAAGAGCAAAGGCGAGGTGATGGAATGGAATTCAATAAATACACCACCAATGATGGGCGAAACCCAGCCCTTTAAGTTGATGCATACCCTTCTTCAGGGCCATCAAAACCCGTCCACGTTTTCCCTGAGTGGGTCACTTGCTATTCTACAAAATGTTTGCCTTTTTCCTGACCGTAAGTGCCAAATCTCCACAGGCTTTCATGGTCGTTGTTCTGCTGCATGGCAAGTGGCGAGATGTCTTCTTCAGGTCACCCGCATCCCGAGTCGCGCACATAACTAGATATAACAATGATATAAGTATATAGACTATCGTTCACTTTCCTTGCCAAGATTGATATGTCTTCTTGACATATAGTTGAACACAATAGGTGTACAATACTATACTGTGGCGGAGGGTGTTTTCTTCTGTAGGCATCAACTGATGTTATCTCAAACGTGATCCCCATCATCATTGGCCTCATGAACCAAGCATGCGGCCCTGTCTTGGCTTGCGCCTGTGCGTGGCATGCTGCTCGGTTGAGCTTGCTTATGGGACGGAAGTCTCTCTCCTCTGAGCCGAGAAGCCTTGGTTTAGAGAGGTCACAAACTTGGGGCCGATCACTGACTGGACGCTCATCCATGAAAACCTTGTTTGTTGACCCTCTTTTCAGGCAAGTGGCCCCCTGGCATAAGAAAGCACTGCACTGCCCGGCCATGGCCATGTGGACTGCCCTCTGCAGGGCTTTTCGGGATTGTTTGGCAATGTCTCAACTTGTTTGCATCGACAATCCCCAAATATACATCCCCACATGCTTCATTCTTGATGAACTTCCTCAGGCTGCGAAGCAGCTGTGCCGTGTCCATTTCACCTGTTGATCTCTTAAGAAACCTCCAGTGAACCTGATGGTCAGTCATACTTCACAAATTCCAGGGCCTCAGGGGGTGTTCCCATCCACGTGTATTTTTTTGAACAGTCAACATGAACAGCCGTGGTTTGGTTATGTGTGGTTCATCGAGTGAAGTGTTCCCGTTTCCTGGATCAATCCCAACTTAGTCTGAGACTCGACAGCCGACAGCATCTCTTGTCCTGGCAGACAGCAAATACAAGCATGACTCATATAACCTGCCCAGTCTGTGGATAACCTTTAACATCCTTTGACCTTTGACTTGGTGATTTGGGCGCTATGCTATGCACTCTCCAGAGTGTCACCCACGTAGCTCCTAGATGAGCGAGATGCGAAACAGGTGGGCACTTCGGTAAGATATCTCCCAGACACGACCTGTCTGGGACTGCCAGTCCGGACTGCCGAGAAACGGCCAGGGGTGGTGCCAGGGGGTCGGCCTCTGGGGGCGGCAGTCCGTCCTGGCAGTCCCAGACAGGTCGTGTCAGAGATATAGCCCTTACAACATCGGATCGCCGGCCATCGGTCCTCAAGCTGAGCCGGGGGAATTGGACCGGACAAGCCAGACTCCTCGGCAGACTTCCGACAGACAACCAAGTGGTAAAGCTGTGAAGTTAAGTTGGGTCCTAGGACAGGGATGTGGGGTTGTATCACAAGACTGCAGGAGCCTGAAGAAACTTCCTTTGCACCTTCTCTCACCCACTGCATGGGCCTGGGAGAAGTTGTGAAGTTTCTGGACCTGCACCCCCTGTCGGGATGTTGAATGGACACCCCTAATCTCCTCTAAGAGGCTATTCATGGAGACCCTTTTCGTGGTGCTAGGATAGGTTTTTGCTTGGTATATTTTGGTTCCCTTTCCTCATTCCATGCTGATTCCGTTTTTGAAGCCCAGGCTGGCAGTGGTTCCGCAGGGTGACGCGGACGTCGCGCCGGACGCCGCCGCCGAGTTGGGCAACGCCCGGCCAGAGCTGCAATTACCACAGGCTGGGTGGAGGACTGCCTCACAGCGAAGTATTTCGAAGTCGAACTCCTGAAAGCACCCCGAGTTCGACCGATCAGAATCCATGGGAGTCTATACCACAGCTTCCATGGGGAGTCTATACCACCCATCTCTCCTTCACATAGATCCTGTGGTCGAATGGCGCCGCTTTCGTCAGACCGATCTCTCCTTCCAGCTCGGTCGCGACACCTCGTCGCGATCGTCGCGGGGAACACCTGGCTGGACCGGGTGGATTGGTCTGTGCTCCGGCGCACAGGGTGGTGCGGCGAAAGCAGGGTGTCTGAGGGTGGCTGGATCCAATTTGTAGGGATCCACATGCCGAACCTCAGAAGGTACGACTGGGCCCTCCTGGCGCCTACATAAATAGTCTCCAATCACCGTACCTGAGAAGGTACTTGGATCCCTAGGGAATATGAATCTCTATTGGGGCGTATTGGGGGCTCATTCCCTCATTCCATCTCATTCCCGAGTCGAGTCGCACCAGTCAGTTAAGGTGATGTTGCGATTTTTTTCCCAGTTGGGGTGGTGCCAGGGGGGTCAATGGGGCGGCATACATGGAGTGTATGGGTACTAGATCCCCAAACCTGGGGAAGATGTTTTGTTTAAATTTCTTCCAGGATCCTGGGACAGCAACATCCCAAGAATGTCATTTTCTCCAGCTCCTTTTGGCGTGATTCCAGACGTTCTTCGTGGGGAATGGCCGGTGGATCGGCTGCAAAATCCCACGGGTTGGGGGTCCGAGCTACGAAGCCGGCCATGGGTTCTACAGATGCCCGTCCTCTGCTCCACTGAACAACCATGAAAAACCCTCACCTTTTTCCCCGTCCGAACTCGTGGCGAGTTTCAATTTCCGGTGTGGAGAGAGAGTAAGTGATCAATTGGTGTTTCAGTTCGTGTGCTGGAGGCGTCCTTTGACGATGAACTGGCAAAGGAGTTGAGAGAGTGCCTCTTGGGGAAGTGCCAGCACCTCGGATTTGCTATGGACATTTTGTGCCGTTGGTATCCGTTGGTCGCATCCTACACCCCAGGCTACGGTTCTCTCATCATCCCTACCCCTCCAGTCGATACCTCAGGTTCGGTATGACTGGACCCGAACCTGGCACCCCGAACCCCAGAACCGTCCCACAGAACAGTCCCACGATCCGGTACGACCGCTCCGGCCCATGGGCCCGGGTCCTATGGGCCTCCGGTCTGTCCCAGTCGGACTCCGCCGCCGTCGCAGCACTGCGTGCCTGGGCGCCGCGGAGGGAGATGCGCGGTGTCCATGAAGGGCGCCCCTATAACAGAGGTCCAGGGAGTGGTCAAGGGGTGTCGTATGAGTATATATGAACCATTCCTTGGGTCCAGGTTGATATGTGTGTGTTTTTGTTGCGTGTGTGTTTGCGCCGCTTTCGCTACGTTTTGATCGTCTACTTGGGGGCGGCTCAGCATGTCCCGCACCCGAGGATAAAGAGGTCACCAATGCTTCGACCCTTCGGCCGGGGCCCTTCCCAACCCTCGGACGCAGAGGAGACCTGGCGGATGAAGTCGGTGCTGAAACGATACCCCGAAACACTCCTGATAGT